GCATATGTATAGGTGCTTGTAGAATATTGATAGATTGATTGTATAAATTCAAGACTGCTTTCCGCTTTGGGTATGCACGATAGGTGGAGAGATCACCCGTGCATCCAGCGCTGCAATAAAGAATATACGACTTAAAGGAATTTCGGCTTCGATCTTTGAATCAATATACAAAGAAAATAAGTATAACGCTGAGCTGCTGTCTTAAATGAGATGATGGAAACAGTGAATGAAAGATTTTTTGAGACTTCTGTTTCAAGATACTGGCCTTCCCAAGATAAAATACTGACCTGCCTTCACAGAGAAAACAGACATAGAAACATCTATTTTACACTTTTTTTTTTTTTTTTTTTTTTTTTTTGTCCAGACAGGTATCACAGAATCGTCTAGGTTGGAAGACACCTCCAAGATCACCTAGTCCAACCTCTGACCTAACACTAACCAGTCCTAACACTAACCAGTCCTTCACTAAACCATACCACTAAGCTCTACATCTAAACGTCTTTTAGAGACCTCCAGGGTTGGTGACTCAACCACTTCCCTGGGCAGCCCATTCCAGTGCCTAACAACCCTTTCAGTAAAGAAGTTCTTCCTAATATCCAACCTAAACCTCCCCTGGCGCAACTTAACCCATTCCCCATTGTCCTATTACTGGGCACGTGGGAGAACAAACCAACCCCCACCTCACTACAGCCTCCTTTAAGGTACATGTTGATATAGTATAAACTCACTTTAGGATAGAATAAAACTTGTGGTTAAAAGTTAGCAAGGACAAAGTAAACGACATCTTGTTATCTGTAGACCTTTTGTTATGTTTAAGCATCTTGTTATTTGAAAACATCCCAGTATCTGTTAACCGTTAGTCAGGCTGAGACTTGAGATAACTTGAGTCAATTGTCTTGTCTTGTTAACTGAGACTTCCTGTTATCTGCCGACCCTCAGTTAAACTGAAAGCCAACTCAGCATTTTTACAGCTTGGAAAACAACTGATTAAGCAAAGGTGAAAAGTGCATTACGAGGAAGACCTACGGCCTTCCTCCCAAAGACCACTGCCCACATCCTGGAGACCCCGGCCCACAATTCTTGGAAGGCTTTGCGCAAGCGCAAGGACTGATAAGCTAATTAGCATACGAAGCGAGGGTAGGCGGGGTTATGTGATGAATATGTATGGGTGCTAATTGAATATTCATTGATTCGCTGTATAAATATGAGATATTTTGTCACTTCGAATGTGCACGATAGGCGGAAGGATCCCCCGTGCATCCAGCGCTGCAATAAAGAATATACCACTTAAAGAAATTTTGGCTTTGATCTTTAAATCAGTGTAGAGAGCAATAAGGCCACCCCTGAGCCCCCTTTTCTCCAAAGAACAACCCCAGCTCCATCCGCCGCTCGTCATAAGACTTGTTCTCCAGAGCCCTCACCAGCTCTGTTGCCCTTCTCTGGATTCACTCAAACACCTTGATGTCCTTCCTGGAATGAGGGGCCCAAAAAAGGGCAAAAGGGCCCAAGTATACCAAAAGGTATACCAAGCTTTAGTAAGAATATTTAGTAGGACTTTAGCATTTCCTTATTTGGGAGATTTTTTTTTAATTTATTTTATTTTTTTACGCAAGGCAGCAATAAACAGTCCTGTCATTTTCTAAAAAGCCCTAACTAGCTGTAGACTTACCACCAGTGGTGAGATGTCTATTACTGCAAGAGTCTGGACTGTTACTACAGCACTAGACCTATTGCTCTGCTGCATGTGACTATCATTTTGAAGAAAAGAGCCTTTCAGAAAACTATCTTTCAAGCAATTTATTTCTGCAAGAGCAATTTTACTACTCATGGGTTTGTCTTAATGCTTCGCGTGCTTGCAATGTCTTTAGACCTGGAGAGATAACAAGCATTCACGCACACTTCTTTCATCTTTGCATAATGTAATGAATTATGAACATACATAGGTAAATAATATTCTTGCTTTTATTAAAGCCAACATATTTTTTGTGTATTTAATTTTCTTTTTCACTTTTAGCAAAGGATGCTTTTCTTTTTATCTTAGAGAATAATTTTGTTATGCCTCCAGACCAAAAAAGCTATCCCTTTTGTGATTGTTGTCTGTTGCACAAAGATAGAAATTTTAACAACTTAAACATTAACCTCTAGAACAGATGCCGACAATGTGATACACTTTGAGAATATTGCACCCGCTTTTGCTAGTTCCAAAGGAGCTTCCTTTACTAGTAACTGCCAGAAGCTCTGGAAGTCAATGGAACAGTACACTTGTAGAGGTAGCTTTCTTCACACAGGTCTCAGATCACCTGGATCCAGCTGCCCTGTACACACTTGGCCCCTTGAACATGAGTTCAACAGGTAGGTACAGGGAAACATGCAGCCTATGAAGATGGCTCAGGTAAGGATGAGAGAGAGAGTTAGGAGAATTTTAGCAAATAGAGATAGAGCGCTGACAGTATTAAACCAGTGGATGCTACTTACTGTCTTTTCTAACTATTGTGAATTGTGAAAATTAACTATAGCAAGAAGTCTTGGGCCCCTTACCAAGGTTAGTCTCATGATAAGAGTGTGAGCCTATCATGTGAGCCTAAGACACTGGTAGAAACTGGTCCTGTGGATGGGCAAGAGCCAAGGAGCAATTGAGTCTGCACAAGGACAAGAGGTCAACTAGCGGTGATGAGGAAGAGTCACCAACTTTCATCCCCACAACCCCTGGCAACCACCACCAGGTGACACTGCACAAGCGCAGATGGGAGGAGCTTGTTATAAATTCGCTCAGTCCCAAAGTAGGATTAAATAAAAAATAGGATTTATTAAAAGAATAGAGGTAAGCAAACAGCGCTGGGTGCACCGGGAGTCTCCGCTCCACCAGGACGCACACCAGTTAAATCAAGTAGCTGATTTTTATGCTCCTAGACTAATACATATTCATTACTACTTCTAAAAAAAATAGGTTATTATAATTAGCTTCCGGGATCCAGTCCCTCCTACTGGAGCATGCGCATCAGTCTCCGGTGGTCCTGGTCCCTCTGCGGGTCTCTAGGGGTCTTTCATGCTGAAGGCTCGTAGTCTTCCTCTCCAAGTTTTTTTCTTGTCCTTCCCCTTTCCTTCCCCTTCCCCTTCTCCTTGGCAGCATGTCAAGCGTACACAGCGTCCCCTGCAAGTTTTGTCTACTAGCCGTCCTTCAGCTTCTTTTTTTTTCTTCTCCTTAATCTTCTGGCCACCTGGCCAGATATCAGGGGCTTGCATAGTGTCCCATTCAGAAGCCGTAACAGTCACTAGTTGTTAGCAGTTGTTCTGAAACCCCCAGACATCAAAAACTTCAAAGAAAAAACATACAAACACAAATAGCTCTCTTACTGACACTTCACGAGTAGTTAAAACATTCCTCACCGGCTATTCACAGGGACAGTCACACCTATAGCAGTGTTAAATCAATCACGAAGAAGACAAAAAAGGCTGCTTAACTGTTAGAAATAGGAGTTCGGAATAACAAAAGCAAACAGGTTCATAAATTGGAGGAATATTTTCTGAAGACTCGATAAATTGACTAGAATAAGGGGGAGACTGGGACACACTGGGAGAAACTACATCTGTGGTTCAAGAATTAAATTGCAGGACGCAGAGGCAGACAGGACTGCTCTTTATTGACACGAATTGTTAAAACATTCCTCACAAGCTTATGGAAATAACTCATTGGAAGTAATTTTAATATGAAATGGGGACAAGTTATGAATATGTATATGTGCAAGACTTTGGTGGACTACCCCCCGTGCTGCCCAGTGCTGAAGAAACGTACCTACTTCACAATCTTACTGATTGTGGAGTCTGTTTTCTGCAAGTCAAGGATGCGAGAGACTTAGGCAACAGCCTGTTCTGCTGCACTTAACAGCTGGAGCTGAGCAAGCAGAGGCTACCTGAGTGAGCTGGAGCAACACAGTAAAAGTGGTTCTGTTAAGAGGAACAGGTACTGCTGAGGTCCTGGTGCCCACACCACACATTGGAGAGATTTCATTTCAGGTTAGCTCTGGTGGAGTCGTGTGGAACAGATGCCCTTTACCAGGTGCAGTACATTATGCAATTTCACATGCAACTTGAGGTTTCCACACGAAAAGAGTAAAGTTCTCACACAGCCTGACCACTCCAGGATGCGAACCAAGATGCAGTGAGGGTACTGGGTATCTTCATTTTGAAACCGCACACCTAGCATCAGTCAAAACCAAGGTTACACCCTCAGTGCCTAGCAGAATGGAGGTCTGCTTACACAATTCACCATGGTGGTAAGAGTTAACTATTTTTGTGCTCCTTTTTACTTGCATGCGTGACTGTTCATCGCCCTGCCCACACGGCGGAGCAGATGACCCCCAAAAAGGTGTCACCCAACCAAAATCATGCCAAGATTCCCACTGAGCGCTTTCTGCCGCACCTGCCCTCCCTTCACCCATCAGCCATTAGCCCCTGACCACTCCCCATCCGCCCCGCCACCATCTCGCGAGAACCGCCCCGCCGGGCCGTGGGGGGCGTGAGATGGCGGCGGGGCGGGGAAGGGGGGGGTAAAATGGCGGCGGGGCTGGCTCTGCTGAGGCAGTGCCAGTGAAGGGCGGAGGGGGAGCTTGGCGGGGCGCTGGAGAGCCCGCCCTCGGCCCCGGCAGGGCCGTTCCGTTCCGTTCCGTTCCGTTCCGTTCCGTTCCGTTCCGTTCCGTTCCGTTCCGTTCCGTTCCGTTCCGTTCCGTTCCGTTCCGTTCCGTTCCGTTCCGTTCCGTTCCGTTCCGTTCCGTTCCGTTCCGTTCCGTTCCGTTTCACCTTAGCTCACCTCCCGCATGCCGCCAGGGCCGGGGGCGCTGTGGAGCCGGGCACGGGGCCGCCCGCCATGGCAGAGGCAGGAGCGGGGAGCGCCGAGGGGGCCGAGGAGGAGCGGCGGGCTGGCGAAGGTGGCGGGGGGCGGCTGCTGTGGGCGCGGGCAGGTGTGGGGCGGGGGGGGGGGGTGCCGCCCGCGGGGCGCGACCTGGCGTGGCTGTCCGTCTGCCCGCCTGTCGGTGAGACCCCGTGAGTGGGGCAGGGAGGAGGCTCTGTCCTGCGTGCGCTGGCCCCGAGTATGCTCCGGGCTGTGCCATCTCACTTCTTCCCGTGTCTTTAGTTCTGTCTTGGGGTTGGATTTGGGTGATCTTTAAGGTCCCTTCTAGTCCGAGCCGTTCTCTGCTTGGCGTGTAGCTGAAGTGAGCAGGGGTGGATGCAGCGGCGGCGGGGTGTGTGTATCCACAGGAGCCCCGAACACAGCGTCCACACTGCATTTCACTTTGTTCAAGCTACAGATGTGGCATCATGCTGATGTGATGTGGGCAGCAAAGGTTTCTCTATGTTTGAGTTAGTACGCTGTTTCTGTTATGCAATTAGCAATGCACCTCATATGCTAGGATGACTTTTTGGCAGGCAAATGTAATTTAGTATTCTAAGTGTAGTGATTTTTGGCTCCTGCATTCACATGCCTATGCCTGTATAGTGAACAAGGATTTATGTTCCTATTCATAATCTTAAGTTTCTGGCACTAAAAAAAGGCAAGCTGTAAACCAGCTGCAGCTGCTTGTGCTCCCCCCGCCTTGAAAACTGGTGTGTTGCTTCCTCTTCTGGGGATTTGAGAAACAGAAGTGAAGAAATCTCTCCTAAATCATCGTTGCAGTTCTGTTTAGTTAGTGCTGATTCTTCTAGGTTTAGTTGTTTTAAAACGTATTGGTTTGTGTGTGTTTTAAGATAGATGGGGATCCTGGTTGTCTAGAAGAAACAGGCATTTTTCTGTCTCTCTGTTGTTGGGCTGTTCAAATACAAGTATAATTTTGTAGAAAGTAATTAGTGTTTGAAAACAAAGTGTTTCTTATTTCACACGGTTTTTGCAGCATGTAAAGTCGTGTTTAAAATAAGCAGTTATAGTTTCTATGTGATGGATGGGAACAAAATCATAAAAATAAAGAAAGCCCATTGTGGTCATTTCCATTTACAAATGGGAAGGTAATGAAGCATAGGCTTTTATGTTTTACTGTGGAAGAAACCCTCCTCCCTGGCTTTGTTGTTACTCAATGTTTATACTTGTTCTTTTAACGGATTTGGAAGAAATTGAGTCTTTTTCTATCAACTTTTTAAAAGATAAAAGTGTCTTCATTTGTGGGGAATAGATTCATACTGGTCAGCTTCTTAGTGTTTTTTTTTTTTTCTCCACTCAAATGTATGCATTAATGTTAGTATACTTGCACATTATTAAAGACAAACTCTAAACTGGACAGTAACATCGGTTCAGAATCATCTTCACTGTAAAAATAAAACCACTTTGTGTGTGACTGGAAAACGAATCAATATGCATACGCTGTTGAAAATTCCCTGTCGGGCTCCAGGCTTGATGGGGTCAGCATTTTCTTGCATGTTTTTGATTCAAGGAAAACCAGGTATACTCAATTCCCTTAGCAGTATATGATTGGAGAGTGTTTTTGGTTTGTTTTGTTCCCCACCTGGTAATGAACTGAGATATATGAGACTCAGTTTCTATCAGTGACCTGATTTGAGCCTGGAAGTGACAAGGAAAGCAGGGTAATCTTTCAAGGGCTTGTCTGGTATCTTTTCATTAGGTAGTTACAGTCACACTTTTTAATAAACTGATAGGTTTGGGCACATTGGTGTCTGAGATCTATTGAGTGAATATTTTATTTAATTAGTTGTGATTCTTGAGTATTTTTTTCTGAATGATGAAAATAAATGAGCGTAGACACAGAAAGTAATCAGTGGCCTGTATTAATATTTGGTTTAAATTTGTATATTTTGGGATATTAAAATTTTTATTTTCAGCATTTTGTCATAATAAAAACAAATGCAGTGTTCTTAAGCCAACCCGTAAGAGTTACTCTGTTTACTGAAGTATGCATCTTTTTCCTGTTTATGCATGCTTATGAAGTGTGACACAAAAAAAAACAAAACAAAAAAAAAAACACTTGTTTTAGACAATACCTTCCTGGTATTTTCATAACTTACCCCTGACGAATACAGTTGCCCCAGCTTTAAAGGAAGGTATACTGTGGGCTGTTGTACTGTAAGTAGTTTGAAGATAGTTTTCATGGCCTGTTTTAAAGCTGTAAACCCCAGAATATTTAATACAACTCTCACCCCTATTTAGAAAATATGGTTGCCTGCTTTATATGTGTTCAGACATGCAGGACCTGTAAAATGATGCCTATCATGGTGCCTGTAACTTTCTTCCTCATACAGCATAAAGTACTATAGATATGTAGAATACGTGTACAGTTTTTCTCATTCTGTAGTAAAAACATGGAGTAAGAATTCATTAGAATGATTTTAGAAAAAACAGTTTTGTAGTAAAGTAAAGCTATTCAAAACTAATTGAATCAATAGCTATCTTGTGTGAGTATGCATCAGTGCATGTACAGCTAGTTACATTTGTAATTGCTTGGGAAACCAGAGACTTCTTAAATCTTCAAACAAAAATTTTGAGCATGTCTTAAGCATTGTGAAACTTAAGAATCCAACTGGCATCTTGGGTAGTACCTCAGTTTAGAAAACCTAGGTTGCTTAGGTACCTTTGTGTGTTCATGCCTCTGCTTCTCTTTATGACTACACTCATAAGAGCTTCAGGCTGAGACCCTTAAATCAAGTATGTACTTGGAGGCTATATGTGTGTGTTGGCGTTTAGGTTCAGAGCAACAGCATTATTTTGAAGTGAATTCTTAGTCATCCTCACATACTGCTCTGCAGCTTTGATATAAATGAAGTAGACCTCTTTCAGAAGAACCTAAGCTAGAATGGTATCGTAGGAAGGTTAATGACACTCCAGGAGCATACCAAATGTACTCCAACTCTAGATGTAAAGAACTGAACCAAGGGTTGGTTCTCAGACAACTTTAAAACACATGCATTTTAAGGATTCTCAGTCCAGTGAACCAGATTGAATGGGATTTAACATAAGCTCCCTGGACTACTAAAAAACTAGAAGTGGGGACTTCTGTAACCACCTGCTTTGCTCTGCTGGCTTGTTGCTGCTCTGCTGTAGTACTGTACTTACTAATAGACAGCCTAGTAGCTCATGTGAGTAGATCTCAATTTCAGTAAGTAATCTAGCAAGTAAGGACCACTTATGTGCCACCTTAACTGCATTCACTTCTAACACGATTTTGAGTTCTTGAAAGCTGTCAAAGCTTGGAATTCCTTAAGCAGCTGCTGAGCTGTGACATGGAGAATAGTTCAGTGTTGTATCTTCTGAGGACAAATGCATACAGAATGCCACCCAAAAGGTTGCTTTGGTTTTGTTTTTTGAAAGGTACTTGCTCATTGATATCTTACTTCAAATATGTTTTACTGAAATATCCCAGTAGATGGATTTAGATGTTGTTTTTTAGTTGCTTAAAAAACAAAACAAAAAAAAAACTCTAAATGAGGGCAGATTAAGAGGGTTTTTTATTATTTATTAATATCTACATTACTTGTATTTTTCTGCTTATGTTTGGAGTGTCTATATTTATCTTGTACATTTTGATGATTCTAAGAAGTGACAAATATGTTCTAATATTAAATGAATATTTCAGGAGAGCCTATGGGGAGTAAATCTATCTCTAGCCAAAAGCTGAACTTTGACAGGGAGGTGAGTGGATCATGAAGTGGCAGTAAGGCATAATTAAGGCCATAATTCTGAAAAATTGTCTGGGATTTGTTGCATGTGACTCTACCAGGTGCTCTCTGTGGCTGTTGTATTGCAGCAGCTTCATGAGAGGTCTGTAGCCATCTTGTGTGGGATTCACCTTGCTTATCTGCAGATGTCAGTGGAGCAGATAGCAGCATCAGAGCTAGCTACTTTCTTCTTTGTATAATTACCAAAGGGAAGGAGGCAGGCACTCACAGGCTGCATTTCATCCAACCAACTATGGGAATATATTTTAGATTGAGATGAATCACCCTAAAAATGTTAAATTTCATTTAACCAACTGTATGAGCCTATTTTAGGTTGATATGAATCACCCTAGAAATGTCTGCTACTCTCCAAGAGGCCCTAGAATGGTTAGTTCAGATGTGGACATAACTGTTTGCTTGGAGGCATCGCACCTTTTATGGCTGGTGGAGTTTGGCCATAAGCCTTTCCTAATAGCCTGTGTTTGTTTAGGAATTGGAAACCTTAAAATCGCTAGTGGTACAGACGGCTCAGAAATGTGGCATCTGTTTAGAAAATACTATTGTCAGTAATTAGAAACGTAGAAACGAGTCTTTTAATACATTGCATGGGTTTCACACAGAACAATTACTGAATGTATTTTTCCACAACTGTATAAATTTATAACCATTATTTAAATGTTAGGTTTTGCCTGATTAATTCTAATATGTTTAGTGAGAACATATAATTTTTCATGTGATATGTTTGTATGGGCTTTCTTTTTTCATAGAGACAATGCTTATAACGCTGTTTTTTGTTTCTAATATTACATTTGACTGTCCTGATGTACATACCTAATATGCTTCTTCAGTATTTTTAAGATAAGTATATATGTTTAATACTGAGAACCAAGCAGATCATAAATAGTGCCTTGAAAACATATGTCTATTTGCTCAGTCAACAGTATGCCAGGGCCTTAGCAAAAGTGTGAAATTATTAATAGCATTAGTTTAAAAAAAAGTCAATTTGAATTTTGTTAGTCTTGCAATCCAAGCTACTGTAAATAATAGCCTTTGGAGGAGCAAAACAAAATATATCTAGTTGAACTAAACTGTTCCGCGCACTCTTTTCAAAAGTAACTAATGATTTTAATCATCCAGGAAAATAAATTTGTAATAAAGATGGTCTTTGTGGGTTCATGAAACAAGAGTGGGAGCCATTTAGTTTCGCTTCATGTGTTCCTAGAAATGCTTGGTTTTAATGGTATGAAACCATTCACAGAAAAGGAAAATATAAGGAGGTCCCTCAGCTGCACAAACAAAAGGTAGGAATCCAGCTAGGAACCTCCTATCGTAGAAACACACCTTATTGATTGGATCCTTTATCCATCTCTCCCAACGTGGTACAGGCAGAGTGAAGAAGTCTCTTATTGCAGAGTGCAGAAGATAAAGGCATTCTTCAGGGGCAGACCTTGGAATCACCTAGTCTCATAGTGAGAGCTATTACAGAAAGCCCGAAGGGATTATTTTAAAGCGCTTTTACTGATTTCTTAAAGCTGACCTAGCTTTATGAACTGTTTCTGTCTGCTTCTTGTTCAGTGAGTAGTAGGTATTAAAAATACTTGTTCTTGTCTGTGAAATTTTAAGTATTTAGTTTTCTACTGCATTTGGTAGTTCTGAAGTTTTAATTGATTTCCCTATTTGTTTTCTGTTTTTTTTTTTTTTGGATAATCTTAAATACGTAAGAGTATGTGCTGCATGCTGTACATGGCAGGAATTAATACAAATTCTTAATATTATCTATCTTACTGAAGATATAGCTAGATGGTATCTAATATGGCATTTCATTTAAGATGTCACTGTGATAGTAAGGATTCAGCCTATCACCTCAACATTTCGATGTAGAAGTTCTAATAAATTGTTACTCATAAACTAAACATTCTGTTTTATCTTTTTTAAGAAAAAAAGTTAGGAGATGGGTTCAGTGTTCAGAACTTAGTGCCAGAGTGTCAGGAAAAATTGTAGTTATTTTGATAATATGAAGGATAAATTGGAAAAGCTGTAAATAACACACAGATTCCTTTTTGTTTCTTTAAAAGGAAGTGGTTTAGGAAGCAGGCTGGCCATCTGTGTGCAAAGGAGTATTTAGGTCAGTGGGTCTGTTCTGTCCTGCCTTGTTAAAGGATGAAAGGATTTGTTGTGCTGAAAGCATTCTTGTCTTTGGTACATTTAGGTTTCTGTTTAGTAAATACTCGTATGAATATGCATGAAGAATGATTGTTACTTCAAAAACCTCATTTAATGATTGCAGACTGCTGTTAAAGAAGTAAAACTACTCCCTATGAATAAGAAGTTCCTTTGGAATTGTTTTTGTTTGGTTTTATAATTGCAGGAATTTGTAGCAGAAATAACAAGTGAAACTATAAAGTGATGATTAATCAAAAAATATGTATTTATAACTTATTTTAAAATAATTTTAGTATCCCTAGTTTGAATGTATTGTGTGTTTGAAGCAACTACCTCTTCTTTCTGTTGTAGATGCCCAAAGACTGTTACTTTTTTCAGAAGTGTTGATTGATTTTCTGTGTTCCCACCACTTACTTTTCTTTGGAACTTCCTATGTGGCTTAATGAGTTAAAGAGATTTCTAAAATAAAACGAGCTGACTCTCTGTAGTCTGACTTGGTAGAGAGAGGATTAGTGGAAGACCAGGCAATGTTCTTCAAGTATTAGTCTATTTTCATTTAACTCTCTAGAGTAATATTCCAACAGAAAATGAGGACCTAGGAGGTAATTTTTCCGGTGTAAGATGCATTTATACCCAAGAGGGGAAAAAAGCATACGCTGTGCTTCATTCATTTTACAGACAACACAGATGCTAAAAAAAAAAAAATACTCTTAATAAAGTATCCAGATTTTCTTCATGCTGGATTTTGAAAGTGCCTATTTGTTTTTTGCCTCCTGCAAAAGTAGGAGATACTTGCTTTGTAGAATTAATCCTTTCTTGTTTCTAGTTGTATGATGCTGGATAGTTTCCTCACTAACATGGGAAGCCTAAAGGATTGCCTGCGTTGCTGAAACAAATTTAGCTCTATTTCTTTAAGCATCAGCTGGGTAATTCTTTGTAATAACTTTGCACTGAGATAGGGAATAAAAAGTGCATTAGTGCTTAGGTTCCTTGAGAGTACGTTCCTTTACCGGTAGGATGCTAGGATTATTTTGGCTTGTGGCTTTTTTTTTTTTCTGTCTGAGAAAGAAAGCTGTTTTCCTTGATAGGAGAATTTTCAAGGGTTCTCTGAGATATGTGACAAGCTTTCAAGACTCTCTTGGCCTATGCGATTGATGTTATGAATAACTATAGATTTTATGTCAGAAACATAGCAAATCTTCTTTTTTTGGGATGCTCAGCTTGTTTAAAAAACATAGCTTATTTTATTTTGTTTAAATTGAATGTAGAGTTAATATTTGGATCTGCTAGCTAATGCTGCATCTTGTGGAGCAAGATGCTTGAGGTGCTGGGAGATTTAACTGTAGTCTGTGGAAACTGAGGAAAAAGGTATATTTTTACATTGCATTAGGCTATTGAGTAAGTTGTGGAGGTCTTCATAGGACTGTGGAAAAATGATGTGCTGTTTTCTGTACATAAGTTGTAGCAGTGTAACTTGGTTTTTGTCTCAGGTGTAAATCACCTACAAATGTGTTTTTTTTTTTCTTTTCTACAAATGAAAGTCAGAATGAATGCATGATGATGTAGCTTGCATTGAATGCTGAGCTTTTTTTCTTCATTTATAGATAATTTCTCAATAGATGGAAGCCCGTGCATTACTTCTGGAGTCTCAAGCCTCATGAATCCAATAACTAAGACTGTTACTGCTTCTTTCAACGCTTCTGTGGCTGAGATTCCAAGGAAGCGCAAAGGAAGTGATTCTGATAACCAGTAAGTAAATTGATTGTTTGTGTCTCCACATAAATAAAGAGAATTAGAAAGTTACTGTGTCATAGAAATAACAAATGAGCATCTCAAATTTATTACAACTACTTATTTCAGTTCTTCTTCTAAAAGTGTTGACAGTTCTGATCACTTAAAACTCAAAAAATAGAATCCTTGAATCCAGGTGATATACGTGTATGTGGGTTTCTGTAATGTGTCTTCCTGTCCTGAAGTGTCTGGTAATGTGTCTTTAATAATGAAACTTCAATCCTGACACTTGTCTTTTTCTGCTTGCAGCAAATTATTAAATAGCTTGAAGTCTCAGAAGTGCACCTTTGAATATCATTTTTAATCTCTTTGATGTAGAATTGGAGAATCAGAACTGCTTCTTCAGTGAACAGGGCAGCCATTTATATAAATATCCAGAGAGAGCTGTGACCTAAAAATGAGTACCTTCCTGCAGTAGTACTCGGTCTCTTTAAGTGCACTGATACTATTAGCTGTTTTCTCCAGTTTTATAACAGCCAAACAGATACCAGTTAACCAAGCAATTGTTCATACAAAACAAAAAATACAATTTCAAGTCCTTTGTTCAAAGTTATATTTATCAGCTAGAAGTAAGTCAGCATGCAGATCTACTGCATTACAAGCATCTCTCTGTTACAAGTGTGGAAAATCCACTTTAAAAGGATGGGGATTGTAGGAAATTTACATGTATTTGTGATTATTAAAGCAATTCTCTTTAAACCATGCTTTTTCCATATATAGGCCAGTGATCTACAGAATGTAGCTATACTGTGGATGTTGATGTAATTATCAACTCGCAGCTTCATGTCTATCGAGAAGATCTCTGAAAACTCCAGAAAGACAATAGCTTCTGAAAGAAGTCTCCATTGTTTTTTGTTTTTCTGTACTATTAGTTGATTTTACATGTTTAATGAAAATGCTGGTTGTTCAATAGTGTTTCCCTGAAGTTTGGATCTGTTTCTGATTTCATAAAACTTCTGTCAGAAAAATCATGTGTAAGTTGAAAAAGTATCATTTTATAAATACTAACAATCCGTTTGTAAAAACTAATATTCTTGCTGAGAATGAGTGAATAATCAAGTGGGATTTCCACACTTTTTTTTCTGCACCATTAAGTATATCAAGTCATCTTGCATTTCAAAATACATTCAGCTCACTTCATTACCTGTTTTGTAGGGTTGCGGTTGAAGTTGATGGTGATCCTCAGAAAAGGTACTCTTTGTAAATGAATCCATTTCTGTTTTCAATGTTCTGTCCCACTTTCCCATTTGTCTAGCTAAGCTGCGTTGTTTGCCTTAAGGAATGCTTGTATAAGGATATGTATCTGTGTTGCGAAAGGTGTAGCTAATTAGTGGGGTGGATAGATCCATTCAGTGGTAAAGTTTTCTACTGTTTCTTTCAAAAATGACACTAACGAGCTCATATATTTACCAGACTTATTCATGTTGAAATTAAGATACAAATAGGAAAGAAAAGAGTAACTGTTAAATAAGGCCGACGAGGTGAAGGGAATATCTCATGCTCTTCTAGGACTGGCACATCTAAAAATGTTTTTCAATTTTTTTCATCCTTCATGGTGTGCTTTTTAAAATATAACTACCACATATATGTTAAAATAATGTTATTATGAGGTGACAAGCCAACATTAATATTAGCTGTGCGGTATAAATAAAGCCTATGTGTGTATTATGGAGTAGTTATTAGTTACATTGTTACTTTGTGATTTCTTTCTCTGCACCTCAATACCTTACTTAGAATTTATATGTTTATATGTAGCTGTCCAGTATTCTATTTTATCCTTACAGTCAATATTTGGTGCATGATTTATTTGGTAGTATTAAAACCTTCTGTGCATAAATTATTTTTTTTGTGGACTTTTCCATTGTGCTCGTGATGGAAATATTTGAATAAAGATAATTCTCTTTTATATTTAAGACCCTCACTTCATTTTTAGAAGAAGTAAGGAATTATGATTAATAAATCAAATAATAGATGAAAAGGTGGTGGTAATTTATTTTGAATAATAACAATCCTGTTCTTGCTGGTACAAATAAAGGACACCTACATTAGAGCCATGAGGTACACTTTCACTCTGTGTTCAAGGTAGTCTTAACCTAGCTATTTATATCAATAACAGCACATCTGTTAGGACAGAGGCTATATAAATCCATTGAAGGCTGTGACTGGTTGCTTGAACAGCAAACTTGTTCAAGTTTCTTCCCTAAGTGAAGCTTCTGAGGGAAGAGATACAGTCAAGACTCTGCATGCTGCATTGCAGGTGATCTGGCTTTACTTTATCTCTTCACCTCTTACGGTCAGATAAGGTAACTTTTACAGTATCAAGGAATCATCTAGGTTGCAAAATACCTTCAAGATTACCAAGGCCAACCATCAACCTGACCTGTTGAGTACCATCCCTGACCTGTGTCCCTTATTGCCACACCTACGTCTCTTCAGGGATGGTGACTCCACCACTTCCTGGGCAGCCCATTCCAATGCTTCACCACCCTTTCTCTGAAGAAATTTCTCCTAATATACAATCTAAATCTCCACTGCTGCAACTTGAAACTATTTCCTTGTGTCCTATTGCTCGTCATCTGAGAGGAGAGACTGCCAGCCTCCTTTCACATAGTTGTAGAAAACAGTGAGGTCTCCCCTCAGCCTCCTTTTCTTCAGACTAAACAACTTGTTCCCTCAGCGGTTTGTCATGAGTTCTGTGTTCTAGTCCTTTCTCTGAACAATGCTCAAGCAACTCAGTATCCTTCTTGCAATGAAAGGCCCAAAACTGAACACAGTATTTGAGGTTTGATCTCACCAGTTCTAAGTACAGAGGGATAATCACTTTAGTAGGCCTGCTAACCACACTATTTCAGATGCAAAGCCGATGCCATTGGACCTCTTGGCCACTGGAGTACACTGCTGGCTTGTGTTCAGATGGCTGTCAAGCTAGCACCCCCAAAGGGCCCTTTCTGCTGGGTGGCTTTCTAGCCACTCTTCCACAAGACTGTGTTGCTGCATGGGATTTTTATAGCCCAAACGCAGAGCCTGGCACTTCTTAGTCTTGTTGAATATTGTGTGATTGGACTCAGCCCATTGATCTAGTCTATCCAGATACCTATGCAAAACTTTTTTCCCCTCAAACAGATAGGCGGAACTGTCAAACTTGATATTGTCTGCAAGCTTACAGAAGGTGTTCTTAATCCCCTTGTCCAGATAATTTTTATCAATATTAAAATTTTTTATCAATGTTAAACAAGGCTTGCCCCAATACTGTGCCATGGGGAATGCTACTGGTGACTGGCTGCTATCTGGGTCAGACTAGTCCTAGTCACCAGTCACTAGGACTCTCTGAGCCTGGCTGTACAGTCAGTTCTTCACGCAGCAGTGTAAGCCTGTCCAAGCCTTGAGCAGTCAGGTTTTTCCAGGAGAATACTGTGGGAAAGTGTCAAGTTCTTTACTGAAATCTATGTAAACAGCGTGTATAGCCTCTCTGTCATCCTTACTGCAGAAGGAGATCAGGTCAGTAAGGCAGGATCTGTACTCCATGAACACATGATGGTTGCATCTGCTTACTTGATTTTTTCTGTGTGCTGTGAGATGACATTCAAGATGATCTGCTCCATGACCTTCCCTGGTACCGGGGTCAGACTGATAGGCCTGTGATTCCTCGGATTCCCCGTAGACTTGTGAATGATCAAATGGTGTAGCAGGTCACCTGCAGTTTCCTAGTGAAGTATAGGTGCTTCATCTCGATCCCTGTCACTGTTTTCTAGCTTGGGGCTGGGAACAATTGGCCTTGCCAATAAAGGCTGAGACAAAAAAAGGGATTAAGTACTGGAGTTTGTAGTATATGCACGTTTCTGGTAAAAGTTTATTTCAAAATGAAAGAAGAAATATTAGGTATTGATAACTCCTCCAGATCTGAAACAGTTTCACTAAAGATAAATTCTAGGGTCATGTGAGCCCAACCTAATCCTGAATTCGGGTTTATCAGACTACCTGGAAGATGCCTGGGTTCTAGTAAAATCCAGGTTGAGCAGCTGGATCTGTGGATTGGTTTTGTGTTAGTTTGACTCTGGCTGCTGTATCCTTCCTTATTGGGGTCAGTGCCGGGTTGTAGATGGAAGCAGCTTTTGAAGTCTTTTCTAAAGCTTTAATCTCCATCTTTCCTTCCACCTCTTACTTCTGTTTTCTTATAGGAAACAGCCACTGCCTGATTGGCTTGTCTCCTTACAATCCTGCCACAACATACACATCTTCTAAAATGATCTTGAAGCTAGCAGGTCTCTCCTCTGGAATGAAGCTTAGAGTACTACATGAGGTGTCTCCACTGCTGAATTAAAAAAAAAAATTAAAAAAAAAAAAGAGCTGAAGTACTGTTGTATAGATTTAAAAAATGCTTGTATCAGTTTCTTTTAAAGAAAATAGTTGCCAATATTAGTGTGGAACTGCCTCTCTGCAAGTACCAAATTGCTCATACTGAATTGGCAAGACATCTATTAGGCCACTTTCTGAATTTCTTGAAGATTGTGGTGGGAAATACTGTGATCTTGGAGAAGAGAAAAGATCATTGCTTTTGTTTGAATTATTGTTTAAGTTTTCCTGCTGCTAAGTATTTATCATCATATTGGTGCTATGACTGTCTTTCATTTATGGTTTTCTTATATAGACTCTTTCCAGTCATTGCTGTGGGGTATGGGAAAACTTTAATTTTTACTTCTTTTTTGGTCCTTGAGCAATTATGTTATATTTTAGGGCCAACCTAGGCTAGGGTTGTTTTTTTTTTAATCTTTTGGCAATCAGATTTTGGAAATAAGAACATTAATAGAGGACCCTTGAAAAATTAAAAAAAAAATACACTAAATCAAGACTGGACTTAAGCTGTTTGAATGTACCATTAATTTTGTTTTCTTTAGGTTAGAAATAGCTCTATAATAATGAAATATCCCTGTAATATGTTCACATAACTGTGAATATTGGAAATTACGTTTTTTTTAATTTGTGTTACGCATCACTTTCTAGATAACGTTTGTGTTAGGAATTTTTGTGGTTTTGGTTTTGTTGGAGTGACAGTAAATTTATAGCATTTTCTGTATTTTCTTGAATTCATGGAAGAAGTGCCTAGTACTAAATATACAACGTAAGACTTTATATCTTGTTTTCTCTAGGAGTGAAGATGAAGAACATCTTAAGATAAAAGATTTCAGGTACTAACTTTATAGCATTAAATGCTATACTCTCAAGTTGTGTATAAAGGAAGCTAGCTGATCCTCAGGCTGCATGAAGTGAGGAATTGTTTCTTCTGGATTTGTTTACACATGGAGGTATTTAAGAATCATCCCACACAAAAATGGATTCAGTGAAAGCATGACAAATAATTCTTGTTCTGGAACAAGTGCTCATATATGGAATTACTTAATGATTGCCACTGCACTGTGAATTCACATCTTACCTTAATGCAAATTAAAATTGACAAAAAGTACTTGTCTGAAGCATTATTTATGCAATATGCTAACTAGTAATTATTGTAGAAACAAGAAGGTTGGAAAAGACTTCCAAGATGATCTGGTCTCCATTAAATTAAATAGAAGAAATTAAATAGTGTTCCGAACCAAATTTATAGTTTTTTAAACTCCAAAATTTGTTTTTCTTTAATGAGTACCCCAGATCACTATGTAAAACTGTATTTTGTACATTGCTTTGATACTCATGTTGTACTGTTAATTTTTTTCCTTAGATGTTGGATTTTTATTTTATAAAAAAAAAAAAAGTATATGTTGGAAGACATTCTTGAGGGTTTGATCAACAGTTAATCTCTGTCCAGTGTTCCTTTTCACGAGCTTATTAGGAAACTTGCTCTTCTCCCTTCCTGCTTTTAACTGTGGAATGTAACAGCAGGCTTTCTGAATCATCAAGTTTCACTAAGATTTCTGTATCAATAAATTATTCTTAAATATTAGAGGTGTGGAAGATTGTTCTGTTTCCCCATATGTTTGTAACCATTTTCCCGAGGTTCAAAGTACAAAGAGCATACATAATATATTACTTGACTGGCCCTACCCTGATACAAAGGAAAAGTGGAGTGAGCCAAGAATAACTGATGAAAGTAAACTAAAAAAGGCTTCGGGGGGGAGGGTAGGGGGGTGGGAATTTGTATGAGTGATCCAAAGTTACCCATATGGAGGGGAAATTTCTTTTTTGTGCTTCCAAAGGAAAATAATTAAAAACAAAGAAGACTACATCTTTAAAACTGTACTTCACTCTTTCTAGCAGGCCAGAGTTATTGAACTTTATTGTCTTTAATGCTTTGTTACAATACACTGAAAAGGAAGAATTTGGGGATCAGTTAAACAAAACATGTTGCTTGATTCGGTTAACTGCCATTGTGTCTGGTCTCAATCAGAAAGGGTTGAAATAATCCTTATTTTAAATGAGTGGCTAGCTTGTCTTCTGAGTGAGAAGGGAATAGAATTAATTCAACTTGACCAGCTAAACGGTAGAGGGACGATGATCAGCTAGAAAGTCAACATACTAGACTAGAAAGAATTTGAGAAAAGGTGACCTGAGATAAAAATGTATTTGTGATACCTTCACAGAGGCTGAAACCCTTCCTTAATCCACCTTACTAAGTGAATGAAGGGGGAAAGCTTTCTGAAACACCACTAGTGGAAAATAGATGAAGCATAGCTTTTTCTTCCAGTTTCCATAGCATCTCTTATAACCACATGTAACTGTCATTTGTGCTGTGAATAAATGCTTGTATTTGTGTCTTTTTTCAATACAAGTTATTTTCACGCTAAATAAATAACAAGAAGACAATGTTCATTCTGGATTATTGTGAGTTTGCATAGACAGAGCTCAGAGATACTTCAGCGAGTGCTTAGAGCATTATTTGTTTAAAAAGAAATAGTAGTAGAATGAATTCACCATCACATTACACAGGCTAGAGAACAGCAATGTCTTCAAATGTCTACTAATTACATCAAATGTCTGGTATGCAGTAAGATGTCAAGGTATTCACTTGAGCCTTAAGGGTCACAAGAAGAATTTCAGTTTTGTAAGTCTTCATCAACTCTTGTTTCTGCCATATATGATCAAGTTGTTGCAATATTTCACTTCATTATTGTAACTGTTGCTACTTTGTTCACATGAATCCAATTGTCAAATACATGTGTATAAAAAAACATTTCAGTGCAGTGATACTTCTCATGATACATTCCACTCCCAAAATTATATTGATGAATATTATGAGGAAAATTGTGTGTTCTACACCTTAAAATATATATTTTTTTTTATTAGAGAGGCTCACAGTCAAACAGAGAAACGAAGAAGAGACAAAATGAATAATTTGATAGAGGAATTGTCTGCTATGATACCCCAGTGCAACCCCATGGCACGAAAACTAGATAAACTTACAGTTTTACGGATGGCTGTGCAACACTTAAAATCTTTAAAAGGTAGGTTTTAGGAAACTAATCCTGACAGTCCTTGTTCTATCAGGAGTTATACTACATATTTTCTTTGATGTTATATACATCTAAGGTCTTCTGTTTTGTTTCCTTGCTGCATTCATTTGAGTCTGTTCTTTGTTTAATTTTACATTTGTAGTTTCCAGAATTTCATTTATTTATATTTTTTTCTGCTATAATAAGCAATACTTCAGTGTCTGATACCTTGTTAACTAAGGCTATACCTTTTCAAAATTATAGAAAAATCAAGCAATTTTATCTTCTGTTATTTTCTAACCCTCAAAAGTTCTGCTGTCTCTCAACTTCCCATCATACTTTCTTTAACAGTAATACCGGTGGTGCTGTACTAACATCAGTAGCTGTACTGCTAGTGAGAAGAAAATAGTCTTCAAACTAATGTTTCTTACTGCAGAGTTTGTGATTGCATCAGCCCTTTGTATTGGAATTTTCTATTTAATTATTGACTTTGTAATGTATAATGTCGTTGAAAAAGACCATTTTAAAAAAATAACTAAATTCTGGGAAGATTTAAAGTTGAAAACCAAGTCACTTATGAAATATTGAATACTTCCACTGAGTTGTTTGTCTAGCATGACATCAAAAAAAAGGTCTTCTCAACAATGGGAAACCATGCTAATCCTTACCTAAAGAAACTGATCTAAGTAGTTACACTGATAGGGAGCACAGAGAACTTACTTCAGTGATCAGTTTCATCTTTTACAGTGTAGCTTATAAAACAATGACTATTTGCATAAAACTAAAGAAGAAATTAAATTTGAATGTGATCGTCTTCTCTTTGTTTCTTTCGCTTGCAAGGACAGTAGTCAAAGTAGACAAAGAAACATAGCAAGACATATTTTAATAGAATGGTTGATGGCTGATTACATTTAAGTCTGAAACACCACAAAATTTTATAGAGTGCTAGGGAAAAGTGTTATTAAAAGCTTATGTCCCCAGCCACATAACTGTAAGCAAAGATCAAAGACTCTGTGCCTTGCCAAAAATTTGATTATGGATAAACGCATCTCATAAGAACCTCTTTAGTTGTAAGTCAAAGCAATGTATGAAATTAATTATGTGACTGTCTTGACAGTTACGGACTCAGAATAATTTAGGTTGGAAGGAATTTCTGGAGGTACTCCAGTCTAGGTAGGCTGAGAATTGTGCATAAGGAAATAATGTCACATATTAGCAGGGTAGTAATTGCACTTAGAGTTTAAGCAAGCATCTACATCTTGACAGTGGAATGAGAAATCTTAAGCTCAAACAGTGTTATTTTAACAATGGTTTAGGAAAACTGGACTTTATCTGCCATCGTTGTTATATGTATCTTCAAAACAAATGCTTTAAGACAATGAGAGATACTATATGGAATTACAGCAAATGCTGAAATTCGTTAGCAAGTTCAACTGCTCTCAAAACAATACCTAGAAAAAAATATGAAAATACTTGTAATGGCTAAGGAGGATTTTAGTGTGTTTGCCATGGATGATAGAACAGTAATATGTTGTGAGTCAAACATACAATACCTATTCAGTGTAACTACACAGAGTGATTTTTTGGATGACTGGATATAGTGTACTAATGAACCTTTATTCAAGCCAAAAGGGTAACATAGGAATTACTCATATTCAGCAGATACTAAGGGTTTTGAAATAAGTCTACAAAATATTTCTAGGTAATGCAGAGCTCATAGTACCTTTTCTGTAGCAGTATACTGAAGGTATCTGATCAGAAGCTTCCTTATTTTCTGCTAAATAAAAGGCAAGGAAGTAACTGGTGATATGCCCATATTCAGTATCAGTGTATGTTTTCTTACACTGGTTTGTTTGTTTTTTTAAAAAAAATCTTTTATAAATTTTTGTTCAGCTGTTGTGATTGAAAAGAGAATTTACAGATTAAGAATTAAATAAAACTGTGTTGAAAGTAAATTTAAAATATATATTTTGATACTATATGCATGTTTACAAATAAGCTATTTTCCAGGTTCCACTAGCTCTTATACCGAAGTTCGATATAAACCTTCATTTTTAAAGGATGATGAGCTCAGACAATTAATCCTTAGGGTAAGTAGAAGGCAACTCTCAGTTAAATGTTGTCCTTATTAAAGCTTGCCATTAACTTTATATTTTGAGAGAGCTGCCCCCCCATCTTTTTCTTCAAGCAAGTGCTTTGATGTAGTTGATGAGCTTTGGTTTGTAACCTCTGTACACTAAACAGGACTTTCCACTAAGATATACTCAGCATGTTTCATACATAAACTGTTTTTAATGCTGATATTGAAACTTGCATGCAAGTATATGGAATGCTTTTAATTATTCATAAATATACTTGCAGTTACTTGCTGTGCTTCAAGATGCAGAAATAATACCTGAAAGAAAATCTTCCTGTTTTTGCATGTAGTCATACACCCACACCCTCTTACCCTTTCTAATTTGCAGCTATTTTCTCTTTTCCTTTGCTGCAATAACACAGTTTGGCAAGATCTGTAAGATGACTCCAAGTTAAGCTGTTTTGCAGCTGGTGTTCTCTTTCCCAAAGCTGTGCTTAGGAAACTCTAGCTGCCTGTAGTGGAAGGTCTGATTTGGTCCCTGCAATCTTTTTAATTGCTTTTTGGTGTGATTTTTATTTAATAGAAACATTCACGTTTAAAAGTGTACCTCCTTGTAGTCATCGATATACATTGTATATTTTAATTGTATGTTTTTAAGACAGTATCTTTGTATTTTCAGGCAGCAGATGGATTCCTGTTTGTGGTTGGATGTAACAGAGGAAAAATTCTGTTTGTCTCAGAATCAGTTTGCAAAATACTTAATTATGATCAGGTGGTTATATTTGAGTTTCTTGGTTTGTTTTTACCTTGCATTTTCTTTTAATTAGAAATACTTAAGCTTTTACATTTTACTGTATTTTATTTTTAAAAGAGTCCTTTTGTTTCTTGGAATTTCTTGGAATGTTGTTGGTAACAACAAAGTAAAACTGAATTTCCTGGAATAAGTATTTGTAAGTGTGGTCAGTGTTTGTGACCTGAGTAATAGCACTGTATTTCAATTGATCATACTTAAGAGAACTGCTAGGCTAAAGGAAAAGGATATTTTGAAGACGTCCAAATTTTATCCCCATTTTTTTGTTGAACGATTAAGTGATTTTTTATTGTTCTAACCTGAGGAAAATTGGTTGTTCAGCAGCATGAGTTAATTAAAGCTTGCCTTGGTGCAGTGCCTTCAGGCTCAGATGCACCATATATCACCTCACCCACAGTAACCATCCATGTTATATAATCTTAACTTGTAGGAAACAGTGTGAGTTAGCTTAACCCATAGAATAGGCTACATATAATTACTTTGTATGAGGTGACATTTAACATCATAAGGAATTAGTACAGATAATAAAAGCATGATAAATTGTTCATGTTTCTGTGACTCCCATTCCAAAAACAGGCTAAAACAATTAGTGCTTCCATCTGTCTACTTCTATAATTTAGAAACAGTTTGTGCTTCATTCACTTTGATTAAAGGAGGAAGGTCAACTAATCTGGATTCTGTTTTATAGATTTTCTTTAAACAGAACTATGTCTTATTTAAATTAAAGTTAAATGAATCATTTTACTTTGTAACAAACATAAAGCAGATTTTTTTTGAAAACCTCTATACTGAACCTGCTCAAAAGTACAATTTGGAGTCTCTCATGTTAATCATACCTGCTTCCAAACCCATAAGATCTTCACTGTTCCAGCCAAAGTGGTTTAGAGAATTTAACTGTCTTAAGCCCTGGATTTATTTGCTTATCTAGGAACCTCTCTGGGTTACGAATCCCATTCTGCAGCATAGTCTGTTTGTTATACCTATGTATTTTGACAGGGCTGCCATTAGCCTTTCTCAGGGGCACTCATCATTTTCCCCTTTCGTTAGGGTTAGATGGGGACTGAGTAAGTGAAAGAGGCTGAATATTTATCCTGCTTTCTTTGAAGATTTTCATTAAATATGTTTCTGGTTGTTGTTTGTCAGAGAGGTGCTCCCATTTTATGCAGTGATCATGTAGCAAGTGGCCAGGGTCCAAAATGAGTTGCAGTTTGAGTCTGGAATATGATTATCAACACAGCTCCTTTCTACCCTTTGATTTGACCTGCTGTGGTGAAGGTAGGCCATTAAAAACCAAAGCTTGCCCACTTCTGTGAGAATTCCTTCCTGTTCCAAGAGAAGGTAGTAGTACCTGCACTAGTGCAGCAGACAAGCTTTGGATGAGCAGATTGAGCGGGTTGAAAGGATCCCAGCTAGAGCAATCACTGTAAATGTCCCCTAGTAAGGAGTGCTGAAGTGAGCTGAGCCATTTGCAGCTTCCAGACAGCACCTGGATTAGCAATGCTGTTCTGTTCTTCTAAATGAGAGCTCAGTCATTAGGTATTGTAAATTTCTTTTCCCTTCCATAACCAAAATAATCTGTGAGGGGAGTTGTTTTTCACATAACCTTCTTCGGCTTCAGGATCAGGAGTCGTGTTAAGTAAATATATATATATTTATAGCACTTGCTCTTTATTAATATGCAACTAGTATTTTTCAGAGAGAAGTTACAAATATTTTTTTTGCTACCCCATTTATATAAAAAAAATATTAAATGGAAAGATAATGCAGATTGAAATACAGAACTTTAGAAAAAATGTGATATTTTAAAATGTTTTTTTTTTTTTTTTAAGTAATATAGAATGTTTTTTTCTGGGATATTAAATGTGTTCAATGTCCTAAAACAGTGGGGCTCTTTTTTTTTTTTTTTTTTTAATAGGCCAGTTTAATTGGACAAAGTTTGTTTGATTACTTGCATCCAAAAGATGTTGCCAAAGTGAAGGAGCAACTTTCATCTTCAGATGTCTCTCCCAGAGAAAAGCTTGTAGATGGCAAAAGTAAGTTATGTGTGAATGTACTCAGATTTCTTTTTTAAGAGATGTTAATAAAATCCAGTTTTTATGCAGGACATATTCATGTGTTTGTATGTGCAGTAAGCTCTGTTCTTATGCAGGACATATCCACATGCTTATACATGCATGGATGTACGAACTTGAAATATGATTTCTATGAGCCAGACATTTGAATGCTTATCTGCTGCTTAGAATGCGCTTAAGAGTTTAAAAACTAGCCCAGAAAACAACTTACTTTAGATAATAAGAGTGATTTAAATTTGCGTTGTTAAACATTTACCAAGTTGTCATCTGACATTCTTCCTACCAGGCATACTACCTTTTTTTCTTGTATTTGATAGGTCTTGTCAATACAAAAGACCTGATGTAGTCGAACATGGGATAAAATACTTCAGTATCAAGAATCCCTGTCTTCTCTGAAAATGCTAAGTGTCAATCCTAATTTAACTAAATCTTATTTTGTTTGCAGTTATTTCTAATATGGACAGCATTATGTACTCTGCAGCTAATAACTATTTTATAGCTGACTTTTATAAGCATTTTCACATTTCTATGTACCAAATAGAAGTTGAAAGTTTATAAAGCATATTTATTAAAATATAATTCAAAATGTCATGTATGGCTTAAGTTTAATTTGGTAGTTCTTTTTAATTTTGGAATATGTGTGACAGCCACGTTTTCTCTGCCCTGTTTAAGTTATTAGACCTTTTTCATTTTTAATTGCCAGGACAAAAATTAGGCAACTGAACGGTAAGGAGAATGTACTAGAAACAGAAATGAAGATTAGGCCTTGGACTCAACAGTTTTATTGCTGGATTATTTTTTTTAACTACTTTGCTAAATCTTTATAAGCTGGCTTGCAAGTACACACAGATTTTCAAGCTGGACCAGCTCGACTGAATTCTGGTGCTCGACGTTCCTTCTTCTGTCGGATAAAATGTAGTAGGACCACAGTCAAAGAAGAGAAGGAGTGCTTGCCCAACCCAAAGAAGAAAGGTATTCAAACAGTGTAGCTGAAGTGGGGGCTTTCTGTCTTGAAATTTGGTACATTTAAGTTCCAAGTCAGTAGTATGACCCTTGTAGTTATCACTGACTTCACAAAGTAGCTGTAGTGAAGTGTAAATATTTACTGAAGAAACATCTTGAAAAACAGTCTAATTGTACTCTTTCTCCTCCCTGTTCACTCCTGAAAAGAGGAAGGGAGGAAGGAACCTGAGTTTCAGTGCCTGTTTAGGAGCATACGGTCTGTTCTAGTCAAATTTAAAAGTCTCAGGGAAATTTTTGAAAGCACTGGAGCAGATCAGAAGAATGAAACTAAATAACATGTCTTGAAGATAAATGTATGAATTAGGCCTGCAAAATCTACTGTTTCGGAGGAAAAAAAAAAGCAAGTAAAAAGTTTTTTATCTGATTTACATTTTGTGTTGTGTGTACTCACAAAGTATGAGTTTCCTGTTTTTGGTTTTTAATGGTGAAGTTAATTTATCAATGTAATTCCATTTATTTTTTTCCATTAATTTTAATCTAGTTTATAGTTTCAATTTAGTTTTGGTATGCCTGTGCAGCAAGTATATTCTTGTCAAGTTTTCAGTGAATTAATCTTTCTTTTAAAAAAAACGTAATTTCCAGCTTTTGTTTAATACCTTGGCATTGATCTTTGTAAAAGTGTGCAGAAATGACTTGATCCTGAATAAATCTTCCTCCTTTTTTATTTCAAGAACCTGTTACTGTTGAGATATATATGTTACTGTTGAATGTACAAGAATAAATTTAAAAATAGATCTGTCATTGTAAGTACATGGAATTCCATCTCCCTTGAATGTGCCAACTAATTTGATAAGACTATTTAACATATAAATGCTTCTTCAGGAAAGCACTATTCAGGGAGATCACACTGTAAATCTGCTAAACTGACAATCACAGCAGAATAAATACCTCCGTTTTTCATTTTACAGTGATAATTGATGGTTTCCATAGTTGATTGAGTTAATGCAGTCAAATCTATGTAAATCATAATTTGGTAAGAATACAGTTATTAAGAGTATTTTGGCAACTTGTTTTAAATATAGTTACTGCAGCACATGGTATGTTATATCTATGCATTGATGCAAATTAGGCTATTTACATATCTTATAAGCAGTGTATGCTGTAACTTAAGTCTCTTTTGATATTTGTGTTCCAAGAAAAACTGAGGAATTCAGAAGCCTTATATAAATAGAAAGTAAGCTGGGTTGTTTTAGGTTACGGTCTTGGTTCATTATTTTAGTAGCTGCAGTAAAACTATATTAAGATCATAGTGTTCATATAAGATAAATTGATATAGAAGCTACAGAATGCTGCCATGGATTATTTTAATTTACAATATATAAGAAACAATACAAAGAAAAAGTGATCTGTGAGTTACTAGACTGTGTTTTTGTGTTTTTGTTTTTGTTTTTTTTCCTTTGAGACTGTTTGCACTGTCAACACCTATAACTTATCTTACTAAATCTTATATAGGGCTAGAAGTGCTCTATCCAGGTAAGCCAAAATTAAGTAGTATAAAATTAATTTAAAAGTATTCTGTAAAATTAATTATAGCCTTCTACGGTTGTTGTAGGTAAGCATAAAATATGACTGCTGCTATTATGGTGAAAGGAATAAACAACAACAAAAAATATTTTGAACCGTAACTGCTGATTTTATGTCTTTTTATTAGATCACAGGAAATACTGTACCATTCACTGTACTGGGTACATGAAGAACTGGCCTCCTAGCGAGGTGGGAGTGGAAGAGGAAAATGATGTGGAAAAGGACAGTAGTAACTTTAACTGTCTTGTTGCAATTGGGAGGTTACACCCTTACATTGTTCCACAAAAGAGTGGAGAGATAAAAGTCAAAGCAACAGAATTTGTTACACGATTTGCCATGGATGGAAAATTTGTTTACGTAGATCAGTGGTAAGCATTTTTTTCTGTACTGAAGAGAAAATCAAAATGACACAGCTAGATAGGTTTTCTGATCTTTTCTGTGAGAAAGAAACATGATGTTTCAATCAGGATAGAATTTCTAGATTCTGTACACAGGAAGAGCTTTCTCCTGAATCAATGACTTTCTTTTTGGACTTTCTTTTTGTTAAACATAATGTAGCAAAAAAGTGTACCACTCTGTAGGAAAAGGTAGGCTAGAAAGATGAAAATACATAATAAAATACACTCATGTATTTATTTGTAAAGAAAAATCTCAAGTTAGAGCTTCATATCTCTCTATATGACTTTTATTTGTTTATAAGTTGCACTGACAGAGAAAAAAGTAATAAGCACTTCACCAAAATTACTGCATGTTAAAATCTTAATATTTGGAACAAATACATTATATTTAAATGAGTTACCAAATTATTTCATTTGAAGTGAAAGACAAGTTCCTATTTTCTGAACTTCTTTAAAAGGACTTTTGTCAGTAATACAGACTGAATTTCATTAATGCCACTGGAGGATTTTTATTGCTTTCATTCATCTTTCATCTAAAAGTATCAGTTCAAACCTATTCCTTAACATGGCGGAGCAAAATTTAGCTATTTTTTAATGACTCATTATGTGGGTTCAGTACTCTGGCTAATTAGAAGAGCTAGTAATGATTTGTACTTTGTGTACATTTAAATTGTGCATGCACATGGTTTGCATGTTTAAACACTGTTATTTTGTCTTTCTGTTGTCATTCATTGCAAAATCTTGGTATCCTGTATTATTCATTGCAAACAGATCCAAGGTAAACTGCAGTTAATATTTCCTGTTGGTTTAGAGCTATACTAGTGCTGTATCTTTTCCCAAACATGAACACAAGCATCTATTTCTTTAAATATTCATTTTCTGCTTTATCTGATACTGAAGAAACCAAGCTTTGCAATTGTTTGAATCCACTGCAGTTCATGTTTTTATTTCTAACAGTGCAACAGCAATTTTAGGGTATCTGCCACAAGAGCTTCTAGGAACTTCTTGTTACGAGTACTGCCATCAAGATGATCACAATCATCTAGCTGAAAAACATAAAGAAGGTACAAAACAATTGGTCCTCCCAGGCTGTATACAAGTACATGTAATTGCTATGTGAAAACAGTACAAATCAAAAAATCAGAAACTGGGAATTAATAAAGTTAAACAATCTTAGCATTGTCCCTTTCTACACCTACATGAAGACATGCCCACATAAATCCTGTAAGAAAAACAGGGAGAAACTTCTGTTGTCTTGGATCTTGGTGCAGTGCTTTAATTGCAAGGGAATACCGTTAATGTTTCTTTCAACCTTCTGCTTCAATTCTTCTTTGATAGAAAGAGGAATAAGTCCTGGAGAGCAAATGTGACTAATCACTTAAATAAAGACACCAGTTATTAAAGTTCACCAAGTCTCCCTGCTAGTGGTTTGCAGAAACTTAGTACATGGGCTCACGTTTAAGATGAATAGCATTGTTATAAATGTAGTTTGATTTCAGTAGGGTTTCTGTCCTGCCAATTTTATGGCATTTGATTTGTATTTCTGATTGTCAAAAACATTTTGGCTTTATGATATCAGAAACCATTTTCTTTAGCTTAACTCTGTCCTCCAGAGTATTAGTGATCATAATTCTCCTTTCTTATTTAGTGTTGCAGAATAAAGAAAAAGTATTTACAAATTCCTACAAATTTAGAGCAAAAGATGGGACATTTGTTACTTTAAAGAGTCAGTGGTTTAGTTTCATGAATCCGTGGACCAAAGAACTGGAGTACATTGTATCAAACAACACTGTAGTATTGTAAGTAATTTGTTATATGAATTCCCTATGTTAATTTTTGTCTTATTTACATCTAGCACTGATAGTAGCAACTTGTTTAAGAAGCAGAACAAGACTAGAAAATATCAGCAGTGCACAAAGAGGTTGAGTAACCTGGGAAAACATTCTGCATTTACCAGTTGATTTTGATTTCAGGCTTAGGTCGTGGATTTAACTATGAAAAATGTGTTGTTTACTAGTAGAAAAATGGGAAAGAGTTTATTAAAGGAAGAGAGGAAAGATCTTTAAAGATAATAGATACGAAAAAATGGAAATGTGAAGTTACTTCTGCTTTTCTTCCTGAGTTTTGTAAGACTGCATGGTGGGCCTAATTTTAAGTGCTACCCTACCTGCCATGTGTCAGAATATGGAGAAGCATAATTGATAGATAGTAGAAATGCAAGGCAGGACAAGAAGATACTCTCCAAACTGATTGCAAAGGAAGAGCCTATGAGACAGTAAATGAGTTGTTGGAGTGTGTGATTAGTTTTTCTTTTGTTACTTTTTTGTTCACTGAATCATGCAATGGTGTTGTATTCGGATTGTTCGATAGATACTGAGGTTCTTTACCAATGATGGGGTTTTTGGGAGGGGGAGGACAGGGATTCTATTTCTGTTAGACCAAATTGTCAAGGGAGCCTTTTACCCATTTTGTAATTAGTTAATATCTTAAGTCAACATTGTCCACCTATTTTGCCCATGTCTTTTTTCCTCTAAAAGACAGTGAAGAGAAGTTAAAGCAGCATGTGCTGCCCAACAGACAAAGGCCACTTCTACCTGCCCTGGAGATCCAGGCATCCACAGCTGTCTGGAGGAGGAGAAAGTAGGCAGCAGCTGCAGGCAGACAGTAGCCACTGGCCTGTCCTTGTACCAGTTGTTTCTTCTTAACTGCTCTCCGACCTAGGAATAAAAAGGGCAGCCTTGTTCTCTTGGCATGGAACACAGACAAATAAATTGACTGTTCTTTTTTATTTGGGGAATAAGTGGAAATGAATATTTCTCTTAGTGCCTCATAACTATCAAACAGTACAAAGGTTGAACAATGAAACATGTAAGGAATATTGCATTTTATCACTATCTTGAGGATATTCGTTTTCCTGTGTAAAGTATTGATTGAAATCGAACACAAATACACTGTATCTTGCCATTGAAAATGTTGCTGATTTTTGTGTTTTCTTTTTTATTTAAATTTCAGAGGTCACAATGAGTCTGCTGAAGAACAGGTACCCTATGCTTCCCAGCCTACAGAAGGCAAGTGTCTCTTCTTGCAGTTATCATAGGTGTATCTTCTGATGGATCATTAATGTTTTAGGTTTATTGAATGCAGGATTTAAGGCTAAGCTGTTTTGCAAGGGAGAAGTTTTTTAAATATTTCTAGTGACAATTTCTAGCTACTTGCAGCATCCTAATTCATGTAATTTAGATTAATGTGATGAGAAGGGCTTGCAGCATCTCTTTTCCCTCTAGAAATTTCTACTATAGCTAGGTTTTTGCTGATAGAATATCATGTTTCTGTCACAACCTTTTCTTGTTTTGTTTTGTTTTTTTCTTTTCTCCAGTTTTCTGCAGAAATACAATTGCAATGACTTTACTTTCATAATAAAGGGGTAACAAATATTTTGTTAACAGTTCTGTGCTGTGCACATACTCTGGTCTCTGAGGTTTTCTTTTACCTTGCTAGATAGTTTTCTTTAACAGCATGTTTGTGAAAGTCCAACTTTTTCTCCTTACGCTTTTTGCTTTGACTGAGATGAGAAATGGTAATAATTAAAGCTAGTAACTTCATGACTGAAGTTCAGCAGTGTTGACATTTATATTATTCAGCTATCTTTATATTTCAAGTAAGACTTATCCACCAGGAGGTTAGTATTTTAAGGAATTTCACTTCTGAAAAAAGGGAACAAAAACTGCTTTAAAGTGAATTCTCGAGGTGATTGTTCCATGCTATGTAATAAAATGTCTATGAACTTAAGATTTTATTCTAATTTATTTTATTTTTTAACTGTAGATGCTGTTAAACAATCTTTAGTGAGTGTACCTGGAATGTCCTCTGGAACGGTTCTTGGTGCTGGCAGTATAGGAACCGAAATTGCAAATGAAATATTAGAATTGCAAAGGTAATAAGCACTTAACATCGTATGTTAGGATTTTAGTTAAAGATGGAGAAGAGGCATATGTGGTTATGTGGGGACTGTTCAAGTTTCATTTTTAATATATGTATTAAATTATTTTTTTTGTTCAGCAATGGTGTTATGAGGTACCAATTATAACCTAATATAGGTCTCATGCATGGCAGTACACATCACAAGCCTTGATAAATAGTTTGTTCTGGGCATGCAATTTCCTTTGTTAATGGAAGAATTATATAACTATGATTTCAAAAGTATTACTGTGATGCTTCTTCACTTGAGATTGAAATGGGTAGGTACTTCATTAGGGAATGGAAAATCAGTTGCCTGTGAGTAGCGTTTATATTTTTCTAATAGTGTAACTCTGCCAGCAGAGACTTCTTTGAAACAGTAACCAGTGGAGTGCTTTCATATCCTGTCTTGTCCCTTTTCTAATTGTCCTGCAGGTAGGCTAAAATGATAGTTCAGTAGCTCCCCAGTACCCAGCTGTAGATTTAAAAAAAACATAACTGCATCATTCCAAATGGGAATCCATCCTAGATTTATGCTGTTAAAGACTGACCCTTTTAAAATTAACTAGTTTTAGTAGATTTGTAGCATAGCCAGTGAATTACAAAGGAAGAAACGTAATTTTAATGTGAAAATGTACTTCTGTGTTTTTTGTATTGGGCATCCACAGTGGTGCCTGACTTGCTTATAGAGAGGTTATTACTCTATTTCAGTTTGCACCATATCAGATTTGTTGTTTAAGAACATTTTTAAAAAGCCTCTGAGGCTAATTCCAGGATTTGGGGATTCACAAGCACAGAAAAAGTCCGGTTTTGGTTACAACTCTTTTGGGAGTCAAGGTTTCCCCAGAAGCTCCAATCACTTTTGTTAAGATTAAACATAGCATAGGGTACTATCATCTCATTAGGACAGGACAAGTCATCTGACTGTTAGTTTTGGCTAATGAAGCGCTCTCTTAGACTTTAAATCTTTAACTTCCAGTTTCAAGTAAAGAAATGCAAACAAATTGTTTATGTCTACGGAGCAGTGTATTCCAAGGATCCTTGTAATTCTTTCTAGTGACACTTTTGCAACAGTACCTAAAGGACGATAGTGTAATACTAAATCGTCCAGTAAGAGATACACCAATTTTGGAAATAATAGTAGATGTGAAAGGAATAGTTTAATATGCCATAACATAGTCAGCTTCTGCTATTTCATTAGCAAATGTCTGACTCCTCAGCTCATCTGTGAGGATATTATGAGAGGCAATGTCAAAAAATTTACCAATATCAATGTAGCATCCACTACTAAATTCCTTGGTTCACCAAGCTAGTCACCTTATTGTGAAAGGTTATCAGATTGGTTAAGCATGATTTCCTCTTCATAAATCCATGCTGAATTAGAGAATTACAGGTTATCTCCTCATAACATGGCTGTCTTCTCAGCTGTCTCTTCATCAGAACACAGTAAAAACCATGGCCAGAGCCTAAGAATGATGAGTCATGGTGGTAGATGTTTTTTACTCTGTTTCCCGTATTTTAGAGTCACTTTCCAACAATGAAGTCATATCCCTTTATTAGAATAGTCAAATTGAACAGGGACTCATTCCTTTTGAATGAAAGGAAGAAAAGAAGAAATAATTCCGTAGTGATAGGAGGAAAGGACTGCTATTTTAAAAATAAAAATAAAAAAATCCACCTCCAGCATGTTGACAGGTTGCTGGGATTATCTGAAAAGAAGAGGAAAAGCACTGTCAACAAAAGCAACAAAATTGGGATGTTACACTTTGGTAATACCATTTTTAATGTTCTCTCATTAATACCACCTATAAATGGAAAGTGTTATTTTTATCAACTCTTCTGAAAGACCATAGCTGGTAGAAGTTCTCATCTCTGATGATCAACACCCAGGCATGAGACAAGAGCTTAACTTGATACCTCTTCTTGGAGCTTCAGCCAGGTCAGTGTTATGTTCTTGATTGAGATAACTTGACCTTTGCTGAAAGATACGTAGATCGTACATGTCATCAGCTTAAGAAAACCAGTTTATTAGGTGGATGAAAAATAAATTGCTGGATGAGGAACGAATGAATGCATTCCTGTGAGTTTTCTTTGAAGCTACCCCTTGAAAGCTTTGATATCTGTGTTTTTTAAGAACCACAAGCAATACTCTTCATAATACTACAGAAACACAATTTCAGGTGCAGTATCTTCCTAAGCAGCAGAGGAAAATTTTGTGAGCTTTTTATGAAGATCAAGCCAACTCACTACTCTTCTGTGACAGTTCTTAGAGTTCAGCAGGTCGTAAGAGAGCAAAATTTTCATCTTAGAAAATGGAGGAATCCATCATAACAGAAAGAATTGTGGAATTTGAAGAGTGTGATATTAAATTAATCTCCCCAGTTTGGAGGAGGTTACTTTAATAAGAGTTGATTGTGGTTTTTTTTTTTTTTTTTTTTTTTTATGGATATTTAAATGGAATTCTGCTGTGGAGTTGAGGCACATATGAACAAGGCCTCTTTAGAGATGTTTCAGGGGAGTATTTATTACTGCACTTCCTTCCCAAGAAGAACAAATGTTCCTAGTCTCCTACAGACCTTACAGAAACTGAGTATATTTATCAAAAAGTTAAATATTAACACTGCCATAATTTTCTGTCATTCTGTTTGCCTATCATAAGCTTGAAGCTCTTGATGATGCACATCTCCCTATCTATCAAAGATTCATTTTGTAGATGTCTTGTTTCATCATGTAAGAAAAGTATGGCTTGACTCCTTAATGGAACAGCAGTTTAATGCAACAGGACATTTACCCCTCTTTGTCTGATTTATCAAAACATCTTTTAATCAAGATCTAGTCACAGTGATAGTCCAGACTTGCTTCTCGTTTGAAAAGTGCGACTGCTACAAGAAATTAAAACAAACTGTGTGAGTTCTAGGTTCAAATATCAACTTTTCAGGAAAATATTTTTGAAGGTACTGGCAGCAATGACCACATGCCTTACGAAGCTGTATCAGATAGTCTTATTTTTCAAGTCATTGATTGACCTTTGTTTTTCCCATTTACATGCACATCTTGAACACTGGTTAGAACAGGAAATAGTGTTATATTGCTTTCCTTGGGAACAATCATACTACTTCTCAACTAATAATCTCATTATCAATAATCTAATTAACCTCTAATTAATCTAATTAACCTCTGATTAATAATCCAATTAATCTCATTTATAATCTAATGAACTAATAACCAAACTATTAAATCTCATTGGGATCAGTGTTGACAAGCAGACTTGTCTTATTAACACATGACTTTAAGACTGGTGCAATCAGCAGAACTTTGGGTTTGTTGATCATGGGAAGGTCTACGTGACACCGGGGCTGCTGGCACCATGTAGGATGTGCCTCTCTCAGAGGTGGGAAAAGGATTTTTGCCCAGGAGTTAGCGGAGCTGATAGATAGGTCTTTAAACTGGAGTTGAAGGGGGAAAGGGATAAAACTAGGCCTGCCATTGATAAGCTAAAGCATGGCACACTAGAATCAGAGGGACTGAGTGCTAGTGAGGTCCTTCGGTCTGCTACACAAGGTGCTGCGTGCAGTGAGGAGTATTTGAAGTGCCACTACACAAACGCACACAGTATGAGGAATAAAATGGAGGAGATAGAAGTCTTGGCCTGTTCTCACAGCTACAACATCATCGACATAAGCGAAACCTGGTGGGATGAGTCCTGTGACAGGTGTGCTGCAATAGATGGTTACAGGCTCCTCAGGAGGGATAGGCAGGGCAGACAAGGTGGGGGGGTGGCAATGTATGTGAAGGAGGGGCTGGACTACGTGGAACTTGAAGTTGGCGATGGCAAAGTTGAGAGCATCTGCGTAAGGATTAAGGGATGAACAAATAAAGGGGATGTCGTTGTGGGAGTCTATTACAGACTACCTGGCCAGGATGACGCTGCTGATTAATTATTCTTTGAGGAACTAAGAGATACCTCAAGATCAGCTGCCATCATCCTTATGGGGATCTTCAACTTGCCAGGCGTCAACTGGGATTACCACACGGCCAACACAAGTAAGTTCAGGAGGTTCCTAAAGCACCTCGATGATAACTTCTTGGTGCAGGTGCTAAGGGAGCCCACTAGGAAAGGTGCGTTCCTAGATCTGTTGCTGGAGAACAGAGAGGGTCTTGTGGGGGACATGGTAATTGACGGCCATCTTAGTCATAGTGACCATGAAGTGGTTGAGTTTGAAATTTTTGGTGACAGAAGGAAAACTGCCACCAAAACTCCAGCCCTAGATATGGGGAGAGCAGACTTCAGGCTGCTCAGGGAACTAGTCAGCAAGGTCCCCTAGGAAACTGCTTTTGAAGGTGTTGACGTCCATCAGTGCTGCTCAGTCTTTAAGTACTGCCTCCTAAAAGCATAAGATCAGGCAATTCCAAACTATGGAAGTCAAGCAGGTGGGACAGAAGGCTGTCCTGGCTGATCAGAAGTCTTCTGCTGGAGCTTAGGCAGAAAAAGAAAGTGTATGACTGCTGGAAGCAGTGTCAGGCAACATAGAAGGAATACAGGGACACGGTTTGTGTTTGTAGGGAGAAAATTCATATGGACAAAGACCAATTAGAGTTGAAGCTGGCCAGGTCTGTGAGAGACGATAAAAAGAATTTTTTTAGATATGTGAACAGAAAAAGGAGAACCAAAGAAAACATAGGTCAGCTACTTGATGGGAAAGGTCACCTCACAGACAAGGACATAGGCAAAGCAGAGACATTTAATGCCTTCTTTGCCTCCGTCTTCAATGCTGGTGATGGACTTCAGGACCCCAGGTGCCCTGAGCTGGAGGACCGTGATGGTGGGAATGATAAACTCCCAACCAACCCTGAAGGTGTGCGGGATTTGCTGCTCCACCTGGATCTGTGCATATCCATGGGTCAATGGGATTCATCCCAGGGTGCTTAGAGAGCTGGTTGACATCATTGTGGGACCTCTCTCAATTGTTTTTCAACAGTCTTGGGAATCTGGAGAGGTCCCAATAGACTGGAAGCTGGCAAATGTTGTGCCAATTTTCAGGAAGGGCAAGAAAGAGAACCCTGGCAATTACAGGCCTGTCAGTCTCACATCATCACCTGGTAAAATTATGGAGAAGATTATCCTTGAAGTTATTGAAGTGCATCTAGGGGACAATGCAGTTGTTGGTCCCAGACAACATGGGTTCACAAGCTGTAGGTCCTGCTTTACTAACTCGATTTCCTTTTATGATAATGTTAGAAATGGCTAAAGCAAACAGGTTCATAAATTTGAGGAGTATTTTCTGAAGACTTGATAAATTGACTAGAATGAGGGGGAGACTGGGACACACTGCATCTGTGGTTCAAGAATTAAATTGCCAGTGCAGGGCCCAGAGGCAGACAGGACTGTTCTTTATGGACACGAATTGTTAAAACATTCCTAACAATAAGATCACCCATCTAGTCGATGAAGGGAAAACAGCTGATGTGATCTTTCTGGATTTCAGTAAAGCTTTTGACACGGTTTCCCATAGGATCCTACTGGACAAAATGTCCAGCATACAACTTAACAAAAACATCATATGATGGGTGAGCAAATGGCTGACAGGCAGGGTTCAAAGGGTTGTGGTATGTGGGGCTACTGCATCAGGCTGGCAGATGGTCACTAGTGGGGTCCCTCAAGGCTCCATTTTAGGGCCAGTCCTCTTCAATGTTTTTACAAACAATTTTAATGTAGGACTAGAAGGTGTTTTGAACAAATTTGCTGATGACACTAAACTTGGAGGAGTTGTTGGCTCTGTTGAGAGTGGAAAGGCCTTGCAGAGAGATCTGGAGACAGACTGGAGAGCTGGGTGATCACCAGCCACGTGAAGTTTAACAAGAGCAAGTGCCGGGTCCTGCACCTGGGACGGGGCAACCCTGGCTGTATGTACAGACTCAGTGACGAGACGCTGGAGAGCAGCCCCACAGAGGGAGATCTGGGGGTTGTGGTTGACAGCAAGTTGAATATGAGCCAGCAGTGTGCCCTGGCAGCCAGGGGGGCCAACTGTATCCTGGGGTGCATCAAGCACAGCATTGCTAGTCTGTTGAGGGAAGGGATTGTCCCGCTCTACTCTGCGCTGGTGCGGCCTCGCCTCGAGTACTGTGTGCAGTTCTGGGCACCATTGTACAAAAATGATGTAAAACTGTTGCAGAGTGTCCAGAGGAGGGCTATGAAGATGGTGAAGGACCTAGAGGGGAAGATGTGTGAGGAGTGGCTGAGGTCACTTGGCCTGTTCAGCCTGGAAAAAAAGGAGGCTGAGGGGAGACCTCATTGTGGTCTACAGCTTCCTCAGGAGGGGAAGTGGAGGGGCAGGCATCAACCTATTCTCTTTAGTGACCAGCGATAGGACCTGCGGGAATGGTGTCAAACTGTGGTGAGGAGGCTCAGGCTGGATATCAGGAGGAGGTCGTTCACTGGAACAGGCTCCCCAGGGAAGCAGTCACGGCACCAAGCCTGTCAGAGTTTAAGAAGCGATTGGACTGTGCACTTAATCACATGGTCTGAATTTTTGGGTAGACCTGTGTGGTGCCAGGAGTTGGACTTGATGATCCTTGGTCCCTCCCAACTCGGGATATTCTATGATTCTGTAATAGACAGAATGCAAGAATATTCTGAGAGCAAAAATGTTTTGCTTGCCAGCTCAATCAACCGCAGCACTTGGAACCCTTGTAATCTCAAGCAGGCATGTCTATTTCAGTGATCTTAGTTGTCCATGGACACTGGAAATTGCAAATAAACCTATGCTGAACAGTTATGAAAAGAAGCCAGCTGTGGAAAGGAGCAGTTGCACTGTGTGACTGGGATCTTTGGCACTGCATTTATTCTGCAGTCCTGTATCTTGGAGTGGGACTGGGAGGAACTAGTTTTTAAAGTCTGTAAGAGGAAAATGCATTCACATGTACTTTGGTTGTTGAAGGGTCATCAGTAAGTACTGAGTGTTTCTGTAGATGTCTGAACGTCATTGCTTGCAGCCAGATGTAGTTCAATTTTCCAAAATAGTTGCAGAAAAATAGTGCTGTATTTTATTTCCAGCTGGAGAGTAGAACTGTATGCTATTTCTTCATTTTCTCTTATATGAATTCAGGTTACTATCTCCCACATGCTGAGGCAGTCAAAATTAGACAAAAGAGTGGCCAACAAAAGTTGACACCAGCACTTTTTCATCAAATACTTCTGTGGTTACAGGCAGAATCCAATAGAATGACTGTGTTTAATACCTGAATTTCCTCTCATTTTTTAATATCAGTAAGACAGATGGCTCTCAAGCTGTGCATCAGGCATCACTAGACTTTAACAAAAAATTCAGGGCTATGTCCACACTTCTACTAATGAGCGTTTCTCAATCAGTTTAACGAGTGAGGAATGATCATTTCAGTTACAGCAGTACTAAAATCTATTCAGTCTGGAATTTGTCCCTTTTAGAGATGATAGCACTGCTTACCAAACTGTACATCGAAGTGTAAGGAACTAATAAATGTTCTGTGCAAGTAGCTAGACTTACTTAAGATAGGTTGTTGATTCATCCATATCCTGTCTTTCCTGCTGTACCACATTTTGGATCTGAGGAAGTGGTGGAAACTGAAGTATCCAGAGTGCTCCACTTCTATAGACTTGTCCTTCGCAAGTCAGGAAGAGTGTGTGGGGGGAAATGTGAGCAAGCTATCCAAAGGGCCCTGGTATGACATTTTCATTGTTAGTTTCATATCCAGCATGTTTGGTGAGGGAGGATGAGCAGGATCTCAAAGAATTTTGGTAACAAACTAAGTGTTCTTTTTGGTTGGAGTTTAATGAAAATAGGGAAAGACAGGTATCTACAATAATAGTAGAGGGAGTATTAAGTGTATTGTTAGTTTAGCAGAACTTCCTCATGTTGTACATATTACGTATGTATTTCAAATGCGTCTATTTGTACCAGTGTGCCTAATTCTGAAACATTTGACTCTCTGCTTTGTCACTGCTGCTGATTGAAGAGAAAAATGAGTGTGCTCAAGTAATAATGACCTATGGACTTTACTTATCTCTTCTGTTCTTTGCATTATCGATAGAAGAGCAAGAGCACTTAGAATCTTCAGGAGAATTTAAGCCAACTTTATCTCAGATTAGCTGGCTCGGACTTCATCACTGGGGAGATCTGCTGGGTTCTGCAACAGGCTGTTTTTCATGATCAATGTGACTTGGTAAATCAATTATACATATAAAATTTTAGGTTGGATTCTTCACCATCTGGGGAGTTAAGTCCATCACATCTCTTGAGAAGGTCACCTTCTCCAGCTTTAACTGTAAACTGCAGCAATGTGAGTATATCACTGCCTGTAAAAATAAATAAATAAATAAAATAACAGTTCTTGCTTTCTCTCAAACATTTTTTCCTCTACTTTATATATTTTGCTGGTATGTTTGCAGTAGGGTGACTTCTATCTCTATTGTTGCTAGCCTAGTTTTCACAAGTGCAAAAGGTAATTTAAAACTACTTAGATCTTTGTCGTGATTGTAGCAAGATGCAAAATAATAATAGAAGAGATGCAATTTCCTAATTCCTATAGTTTAATGCATCTCTAACATGGGAGGTATGAGGATTTTTATCATTTAGCAAGAATGTGTTGATATTAACTATTATAGATGATGTGAATGGGAATTTGTAGTTTATGGTACTATATGTGGAGAACATGTACCAGTACATTTTGTTGTGCTGGGTTTATTTGCTTAATATTGAAGTAGACACTTAATAGTGCAGATGTCATCACAGTGAAATAGTCTTGACAGATGTGTAAGTATCACCTTTTATTTAAGCAAAGTCCAGTGCTATGTGAACTTTAAAAAAATAATAATAAAACACAGTAGATCTTCTTTGATACACATTTTTCATTAACTCTTATCTAGTTCTTAATGCTTTTATGGAAATTTATAACATTCCAGTAATGTAATAATTGTGACTAAATTTAGAATTTAATTCTGTCCTTCTACTATTTCTGATCTTTTAGGTGCCAGATAAGGAGTTGACTCAGTTATGTCCTTCAGAAGTAGAAGTTCTACAGACTTCAGAACAAAATCAGGGTGCTATTCCATTTCCGAGTAATGAACCTCTCCTCAGTAAGATTTATTTCTCTTTGGGTATTTGGGAACTGCAGGGAAAGACATTTATAATAAAATACGTATTTTTTGAGTGCACCAGTATACAACCATGTATAAATTACAAAGTTTCAAGAGTCAGTGTTTGTCTTAAGATGAGTGAACTCTTAAAAGAGATGTGTTGTCACTGGAAGATGAACAGCAAAATCAGTTGTTCATTCTCATGACAGAAATAACATCCAGCAATACAAGTTTACCATTATGTTCTTGCATTCCACCATTTTAATTAGGTACTTAAAGTTTTTTTTCTGCAGAAGAAAGAGATGGGTAAGAATAAGTATGGTAGCGCAATGTAAAGGATTTGGTTGTAACTTGTGAACTACTGTCCTTATTGTACTTCGTGTCTTTCTTAACTACAAACTGTGAAGAGCTACATAAAAACAGCTGACAAAAATGTTTTAGAACTTTTTCTTCCCCTCCTTCAAGAATGCAGTAAGCCAGAAGTTTGGACATAGGATTCCTTGGCTCTGGAAGAGGAGAATGCCATGGTATTAATTTTAACATTAAAGGCAAAGTGCTGTTAAAGTCATGTTTATGCTTATCCTGTACCTCAGCTCTTAGAAATTTTTCCACCTCCCTCTTTTATGATAAGTTATTAGAGCTTAATTTATAACCTATAGCTGTCTTCCAGTTGAGCTATGATCCTCAGAAAAGAATTTGTAAAAGCTTTTTTTTTCAAGATATGCAAGGAAACATTTTTCACTGATACTTGAGCTAAAACTTCACTGCATGGATACAAGGTTTCTTAGCTAGCAGTTGACTGTCTGCAGATAGGCCTTATTTCTATCGTCTCTACTTTTTTATTTTTTAACATTTGCGTGTAAATCTTTGCCTCATCTTTGAAAAAAAAGTGTTGTTTAAAAACAAATCTGTTTTGAAAGTTACCATATTATTCATGCTTTGTACTGCATACATAAATATTTTAATAATTTTATAGGTGGTAATTCTCAGCTGGACTTCACAATATGTGAAAATGATGACACTGCTATGACTGCTCTTATGAATTACTTGGAGGCTGATGGAGGACTTGGAGATCCAGCTGAACTCAGTGATATACAATGGGCTCTCTAGTTTTGCTTTTTTTGAAATAAGGAGGAATTTTAAGTCCTTAATGCACAACAACCATACATCCTCAGTACTGTATTATGACTTTTTTATTGTTGCATTTGAATTCATACATACTATCAATATATTTTTAAAGACTGAAGCCTTGTTCACAGACAGTTTCTGCTGCAACGATGGAAAAATGCAGTATTTTTTTTATGATGGGGAACCTTGACGTTTTAATACCGAAGTATCTGTAACTGGAATGCTTAAAACACAGCTATATTTTTTCTAAGAAGCTTTAACCAAAAGGTACTGTACAATGTACAGAATATTTTTTCTTAAATTTAACACTTTTATTTATTTTTTGTTTCAAATGAGAGAATATTGGTTATCTGTGTTACTTTCTCTAGAACCTAGTCTACTTACAGAATCTAAAAATATTTATAACTATTAAATTTCATTAAAATGATAATATGCACACACTACAGTTGTAAAATAAGGTTTTGTAATTCTTAAGTGATGCAGTTTGTGATTCCTTGCTCTTTCAGAAGTGCAGTTTTTGTAGTCAAAAGTGAAAATGCAGCATACAATTCTGCGAGCAAGGATTAGACCATCATACCAATTGGAAGAAAAAGTTGTGAGGAAAAATAATTTCAATCATCTGCCAGTACACAAACATGAGAAGAGTATGAGAAAAGAGAAACAAAATCTTTGCTACATTGTATTATTCATAAAGTATTACTAGAGGGGCAATGCATGGAACCTAAGAAAAGTAATGCTGTAACTGTAATAAAGCACTTTAGTCTCATCACTAATTATTTGCTAACTAGAGAATTTTGACCAGATTGTCTTAGTTCCAGAATGAGGATAGATAGCATTGTCTATTAGTGGAAAATGTTAAAATTCTGTAGAATCTTTTATAGTATCTATGTTTTGGAGAGATAGGTGATTTCATATTTCTTGACTTTTTAAAATACTTGTGTAATACAGTGCTGTCTATAAGTAAATGCTATATAGAATGATCTTCTGAGGAACAGCTTTTCCAAGACCTGTATACCAGTTACAGCAGATTACTCAAGAACATGGCGTTAAATGGGTTGCTTTAAAGCCATATAGCATTAATATATAAAGTGTATCTTTTTCTTTCTGATATTAAAGGTATAGATAAATGTGTGTGTCAGTTATATATCATAAAAGCATACTTTTTTTTTTTTTAATTAATTCACGTAATGAAAGGAAAGCCTTCAAAGATGTTTGATATGTGTGCATCTTTGTTTAATACAAACATTAAAACTTGACCACAGGTACTGCTGTAAGCACTCTTACATTTGTTTGAACTGTAAAGATGAGCAATAGGCAGCCCTTTTCAGATTTTACAAAGGCTGAAGTGTGAACAAAAGATAACTTCTCTAAGTAGCCGCCAGATGTCATGCTTCTATTGTTGGATGACTACCCTTTCATGAATGAATACAAAATTTTGTTGTACATTGACTTGCTATGCTTTGATGGAGCAGCTTTATATCTTATAGATATGGATTGTTTCAGAAATGATGAATTTTTGGTGACATCTTGTACAAGTTTTCTAGAATGGCTTGTTGGATTTATTTTTTTTCTGTCTTTAGATATTTTGCACTGAACTTGCATGTCATTTCCTGCATTCACAGTTTTTTAAAGACATGGGGCCAAAATTACCTGTTGTTTAGCTTTATTGGAATAAACTGTTCTGTTTCTTCACAGAAAATGAGTTTGGGACTATATCATAAAGCAAAGTGAGAAGAATAAACAAACATTTTCTAAAAATCGATCGAATTGTACAACTGTAAAATAAGAATTGCAATTTTTGCCATTATGAAATGTATTTTTCATTTTCTATGTTTTTGACCATTAAGGTAAAAATCAATTATAAATAAAATAAGAAGTACTGTGGCTAGCACAGAGAAATAAGTAAATACATGACTTAATATTGCACAGACTCTTTACAACATGGTTTGTTTTTTATTCTGGATTAGTTTGAAAATGGTGTAGATGTTGTTATTGAAGGAGCATAATAATTATTTAACAAGATCTATATAACCTTCTAGAATTAAACCACTGGTTTGCATTCTTACTACATTTTCCTAAAAATATTAATAATAATAATAAAAAAATGTAACAGTCATTTGCAGTCAGTGATCAATATTGTATGTCTCAATTAATTTTTAGATTTTCTCTTTAATGTTTGCAAAATTTTCTGGTTTAAAGAAGTCCTAGAACAAAAAGTGTCATTTGTAAATATTTATGACGAATAAAGAGGTGAAATTTTTATGTACTTTTGAATATAGTTGAGGTAGTTGTACTTATTTCTCTTTGTACAACAATATAATTCTAGTAAGATAAGGACAGATTTTTTTTGACTTGGAACAGGTTATTGGAGGATGTGATGAAATCAGGTTAATAAAATGTTATTTTTATGCACAGCTGTTAGTCTGCACACAATTCTATCTGTTCATTGAATTTAAATATAAAGTACTTATGCTTTAAGATCCCAGGCTCATTCTCTAAATACTTAAATGGGGAGTTTGAACTAACGTGGGTTCTGGTAGCTCAAGTCCCTAGTGAGGCTCACTATTTTCATTTATTTGCAAGCACAATAGGCTGAAGTTGGTCATTCCACTGGTTGGTGACTGTAGTGTGTTCCTATTTGTGATCCAAGCTGAAATGAAGATTATACTAATGTGGAAATGATGCTGCTTTTCCTCAAAGCCCGACTTCTGGCCTCTTTCACTTAGTCTTTTGCTTCTTTTTGTTAGGCTGACATACACCATGTAAGTTCACAAAATGTCCTGGAATTCCAGGAAGTAATTATCAGCTGGAAAGTGATGTGCCACTTGGGATTTCTCTGAAGATAACCATTTTATTTCCCACACAATATGAGAATATTTTTATTCTGCACAAATATGGAGGTCACAGATGTAGTTGGGGTATGGGTTCTTGCAGGTTAGAAGCTGTTTCAGAACAGCACAATCAGAGGATCTAGAAAAAGGTAAGCGGAGTGGTGAATGAGCTGCTGAAAGACAGCTTGTGCTGCTGTAACATGTTCTGTGTGTACCTCATTTCTAAAAGATTGGTCTGAATAGCTCCCTGTACTGTGGCAGATGGCTGTCATCATTGAATTTTCTGTATTCTTTATAGCTTAATTGCTTTCAGAAAGTTCATATCTTCCTTGTGAGGAACAGAGGCATGTCAAAAATGTTCACATCTCTTGGAAGTAGCAAAGAGCAGTTTTACTGATGCTGCTCCTTTCTCTACAGCTCTTCTTATATGAGGTCCTGGGAAGCTGCTGCCAAACTATACCAGCCTGCTATATATTTTTGTTTTTGTTTTTAATTTAATTATTTTATTTTATTTTATTTTGTAATTTAAGGGCCCTGTGAGCTGTGTATGTTATGTGTCAGCTTCTGTGAAGTGTTTTTACTTTGTTAAATGGGAGAGAAATGGGAGTGAAAGGGGAATGAATCAGAATGTCTGATTAATTGAAGGATAAGTTCATATGAATGGGCAGTTACTACATACAACTTTTTATCCTTTGGTTGTTTTCTTGTCAAAATCTCCAGAACTACACAGTCTTTGGAAATAATAAGTTTGTGGGGAAAATCTTCCTGGTTGATTGTTGCTCTCATAGTGCTGGCCCTATCTGGGAGGTAAATGTTTACTTCCACAACATTTGCCAGATCTCAAGCATATGTGACCTAACATCTGTGATCTGTCCTACAAAATTTAGGGAACTTTGGCACGACTGAGAGAAAATTACATACTTAATAGACTCTTTTGTAAAAATGATGTATATCAACGTGTTTCTAGGAAATACTATAAAAAGATCAACAGAACTCTGAATAATACAATATTTGAGTTAATTTGCAGTGGTTTTAAATCTCACTTTAAAGACTGCTTCTTGCATAAATCTTACAGATGAGGCTAAACCATATAGAATACTATACTACTGGGCTTTAGTATTTAGGCAAAAATAATTTGAGTTGATTAAAAATTCTTCAACAGGAGTGGTTCCATCCTTAGACATTGTTTTGTCTAAATAGGATAATAAGCAAATTGATTTCTTAATTCCTCATCTTTGTGCACTTCTGACTTGCAAGGCCTTCAAGAATACCTCTTTTTTCAGGACAAATACAGTTGCAGTATCAGATAATGCTTTTGTTATCATTTAAGAGATAGCAAATCTTTTATTTTTGAAAAACAATAACAAACCATGCAGGTGAATTTAGCCTTGCTTCTGCAATGTATAATCACTTGCTAAACACTTGTTCTGCAGAAGCGAGCTCAGAAGGGCACCAGGCTGGTTGTGCTTCGTTCTGTGTGGAAGGCAGGAGCAGCTACAGCATGTAAGACTGCCTGCTCTTCTGTGGGCAGCAATGGGCATGAGTCAACTCCTAAATAAAAGAATAGGGTAAATGCAGCAACAGCTTTAACTGCTTTCAGCTCAGGGGAGTTGCTCAGCTTCATTTGGTGTGTCTTGTTTGGTAAAGCCTGAGAGATGTCTATTCTGAGTGTGTGTGTTTGAACTCCCTGCATTGACCCCATGGAAACTACCTTTGTACTGCAGGAAGAGCTCTTATCTGTTTTGGCTCCCACCAGTTCATTTACGGATTGCTAGTTCATTTGTGGATCACTGCTGCTTGTACTGGAAGAGACAGCAAACAGTTGTTTCTCATCTTCTGTCTCTGTGGTTTGTCTCTCTCATGATGACTTAGTTTTTTATGACAGTCCTCCTTTATGAACCCACAGCTTTAAAACTTCTTAAATCGTAGTTCTTCAGAGCTGTTCTGCTTGTGGTTTATTATAGTAATTTACAGCACCCTCCTAGATTATTTTTGGCGGAAAAAAGTCAAAAAGGTAAGCACGTGTTTAGTTTTTTTTTTTTTTTTTTAACATTTGGGGCATTTTGTATCTGAATTCTAGAAGGAATGTAAAGTTTCGAGTATAAAAACGTGTTGTGTATCTCAGAAATCAAAGGTCATCATTTCATTGTTCTTACAGTTACTTTGGTGGAAAGCCATGGGAAAGAGTCCAATGTTGTCAGAGTTTGCAGATAAACAGAAAGATCAAATGAAGTGAAGCTCCAATACAGTTGCAGGAAAAATAATTTTATTAAAAAAAAAAAAAAGGACAACTACTTGTATAAAAAACCTGAAATGCAATTCGCTGCCTTATTGCCATGCTGCAGGTGAAGTGCTTGTATGACTGGGGCTGTGGAATGGTGTCTCTCAATTGCTCTGTGATAAAGAAAAGGGGGTTGAACTGTTGGTTCTTCTCTGTCTCCCATCTTTGTCATATTTAACCTTGTGAGCATTCACTCATTCTGGTAAGCTTTCTTATCACAGGTGCTTTAATGGTATTTCAGTTTTTGGTAATAAGCATTAGAGGTATTAACTTTAAAAATGGTGAAGAGGGTTATTGATAGTCTGAGAGGACTTTGAAGTACTTAGGCTGGATCATTTCTCACTTAGGCTGGTATAACTGCTGCATTTTCATGCAATCAATTTCACTGAATAATCAACCCCCTTGTGCTAATCCACCCACAGCTGCATTTTTGTCATTATTGATGTTGGGTTTCTGTGGATTATCTAATAACAGAAATTGAAATACCACCTTATCAATCTGAAAGGAGGTAGACACTGTGCTGAGTGTAGCTTGTACTACTGGAACAGTTTGTTTATGTTAGTAAGTATGGCCCTTTTTAGAAAGACTGGAAAGTTACTTCTCTGGTTGCTGCCTTCAGCCTCGTTTCAGTGTCTTGCTTTAATTGAGCTATGGCCTTTAAGACTGGGTAATAGGGAATAAGGCTTACAGGATTTGGAGAGACATTTTCTAACCATGATGACTGTCCTACTCAAAAGCAGAGTCAAAGTTGTTCGGGTATTTTTGGATCAAGGAATTTGGAAGATGGATCTTCCAGTCACTTGGAAGAGCCTTGTGACTGACATTTTTGTGGCAGGAAGTTTTTCATCAGACAGAACTTCTAACCTGTTCCAGGGGTTTTAAACCAATTGGTTTGTATGTCAAGAACTGTAGTCCCTGATGTGGGAATTAGGCATATGATATGAGATGACTGGATTATATTTTCCTCCTAAATGACCAGACTTTAATAGGTATTTTTAATTTGGTCATTGATGTACAAGGAAATTTGTGGATACTTCTATTTGTAATCCACTGAAATGCCCAGTGTAATTTTCTGTATGCCACTGGATGGTTAAGCTGTTCCTTCCTATGAAACAACATGGGAAACTTCTTCCAACCCTTAAAATAGTTGTAATGGGGAATGAACTAGGAGTTCTTTGCAATTTTGTTTCCTCTGAAAGTTGAATTTCGCAGGGAATGGATAACACAACTTCTAGGATTTTTAGTATGACCCTGTTGGAGTTTAACATTTTAACTGATTCATACTAAACGTGACTCCACAACAATCAATAAGATTCTTTGCCTCTGGCTTCAGTGTAGCCAAGATCGATATTAAGAACAATTGCAATGTGACCATTAAAATGGAAGTTCAAAGTAGAAGAATTGGCTGGGTATAAATCCTCTCCACTGTCATGTATTTTTGTGTGTGTTCTTTCTCTGCAATTAACATTGGATAGATACAAGGGCTTTTTATGTACAAATAGATATGTTTCATTCATGTGGGCTGTAGATGAGATCATCATATCAGATCTACTTAATCAGTTGTGGATATAGTAGTCTATCTTTTAACAAGACCACACTTTCTAAATGTTTCTGCTTTTCAGGAATTGTTAAATTGAAGTCTTAGTTCACAGCTAAGAAGGAGAAAAAGCAGCAATGCTCATGTCTTGCTGTCAAGGTTATTCCCACTGATAATCACATGGAGAACAAGTCATATGTAAAGGCAGGGTTTTGGCAAAATATTTGTGTCAAAACAATATTTCACATCACAATATTTCACAAACCTCACATTTCACATCACTTAGTTTATAGCAAAAAGGTTCTTCAGTGTTTCTGCTGAGGATGCCATGTGTTTCTGCCATCTCAGGGGTGTATATCTTTTTTTTGACTGAATAGTGTTTTAAGTTGTATTTCATCGTCTTGATGGAAATTCAAGTAATAATCTAGCTAAAATACATAGATGTCTGCTGTACATTTTCAAATTATATAGAAGGTTTTAGAAATCTCAAGGATAAATTGTTGTAGAATTTTAATCATGTTTATTGTTGTTATTCCCTGACATTGGTTGAACATACCCATCAGTTAAAAAAATGCAATTCTTGGTAGCTCTTCAGGAGCTGTAAATAACAAGTTCATTTTATAAGCTTTAAGTTTGAAATAGTGGCCTCGAATTGATTATAGGTGTTTCATTTTCAGCTTGAAAACACCAACTGCGCACAAGTTCTTTGAAAATATTTGCAGCGTATGATTTTTTTTTTTTTTTGGCATTGTTATTTTCAAAGAAGAT